GTTCTTGTACTGAAAGTTGACCTGCAATGTCGGGAAAAGTAGCTTTGGTAAGTTCAAATATGAGGGCGCCGAAGACCGTGAGGAAGGGAGCTGCCCACGTGCGAAAGAATGAAATGATGGGTCGTGCTTTCTGCCAGTCCTTGGTCGGCTTTGGAAGGATGCGAGCTGTGGGCAACGGTGCTTGAAGTCGAAGTCCCCATGCATATCGCTGACGTAGGAGGGAAGGTACCGTAGTTACCACTTCAGAGCGAAAAGATGCTGCGGATTCACGGCAAAGCGAAAAGACATCTCCCGAGCAAAAGGTCTTCCGCATCAGTATGGCAAACAGGGACGGACAAATCACATGTGCGCGGGAGGGGAAATGATCCGCGGGGATTACAACCCACGATGACAGAGAAGCCACGGTGCGCTGCAACGATGTCGATGACCAATAAGCACGATCTTGAAGGTTAGCTCGATGAGTGTCCATCAACTGAGTCAAAACCGGCTGCAGATCAACAAGAAGACTGGAACCATGCACATGCCAGCGACGAGCAAGTTTGCGAAGTTGCGTGGTGAAACGTTGATGTAACAAGTCGACATCACCGAAATACTGATCCTTCATTGATGCGGCCATGATTTCCATGTCAATGTCCGCATTGATGCGTGAGAACTCATCAACCATTACAGCATGTCCATGTGCTCGGTGTATATGGTGATCATCGATGTCCAAACAGCGACACGGAAAGGATGTTTCAGGAGTCCATCTGCGCTGCCATGTGCGGTAGTTGTAGATCTTGTCGCCCAACGTGGCACTGCGAGTTTCCACCACCCGGATCTTTGGAAGGAAAAGGGAGGGAAACAAATCACGATGAGAAGCAATCCAGCTTTGTAACCATGTGCCAAGTAGAGCTTTCCAATTCCGGACATGTAGAGGCGGTAGGAGTAGTTGTGTCAAAGTGGTGGGTGATTGTAGCTGTCGCTTGCGTAACACCTGGGCGAGGAGTTTCTGCGCCTTGGAGCGGAAGGGCTCGTTGACAAAGACGGAGAGCCGCAGAAAGTAGTAAAGCTGAGTAGGAGGGAAAGCTGCCGACAGAAGGTCACGCATGGCTTGGAACGATGCACCTGTATTGGATCCCAGCTGATAGAGAATAGAGTAATGGGCCTGAATGTCATCCAGCATGTCGGGACGTAGTTGCCGTTGAAGATCCGGATGTAGTCGTCGTCGAAAGCGTTTGTGCAAGCCGAGGGAAGTGGGAGACGACAACGAGTGACGTCGAAAATCAACGAGGTGTTCCCGGAAGCCCACCTTTCGCAGAAGTCTGTGTACCCAGGGTGCATTCAAATGCGGGCGTAGCAGGTATTGCCATTTGCTTTCCTGGACCCAAACCGAGGAAACGGGAAGTTTGATCTCAACCGGAACAGCACAGAAGAGCCAGTAAGTATTGGATCGCTTCCAGTAGTGAAGCGCGGGTTCGAAGAAGGCATGACGTCTTCGAAGTAGTTGTAGAAATTTGCGACTGCGTGAGTGTTCACGTCGTAGAACATCCTGATCAGTCGCACCAACGTAGTAAGGTGTGTGCCATGGGGAAAGTCGGATGTAGACGCACGGTTGTTGATGATGACCTGGATCGTGAATGAAGTCATAGAGGTCCGGAAATCGTGCCCGCAATGAGCGAAGATGTCGCGTGTCGGCAAAAGTGGAGTGCATGATTTCACACAAGAGAGAAGCCTTGTAGAAGTGAAGGACTTCAAAGAACGGCGGAAAGTAGCCATGATCTTGGGAAATGAGACGTTGTAAGAAACTGATCAATAAATAGGCAGTGCACCGACATCTATGAATCTCATACCTGTTGGCCACAGTGTGTTGAGAGTGTGACATAGCGTGATTCGGAATCTGAAGGGCAATCCGGACCACAACTAAGACTTCCAGAATGAGGCCCAACCACGGTAGTTGTGTGATTGATTCGTACTCATCAGCTGGTATCGACGGTGGTGGTAGTCCAGGGAAGCAGTATTGCCAGCACGTAGAGAACATGGTCAACGAGTGTAAAAAGTTGTCCAGAGACTGCCATTGTGCAACATCATCATAGATTCCACAGCGGCGAAGCTCATCCAACATGGTGAAAATGCAACCAATGAAATCTACCATAAGGCGGCGACATGGATACAAGCTGCACAGACAATCACGCACAAGGCAATGCAAGCACAACCAAGCACAAGATCAAACTGATGCAACGCAGAAAGATGACGGACGAGTTTTAACCTTGACTCATCCGTGACACGGTTGCCGCTCCGGGCTCATAAGAGAACGAAGGTCGTTAAGATGCCTGCTCATCCGCTGAGTAGGCGAGCGGTCACGATGAGGTGACTCAATGCCTTCTCAGTGAGCTTGGTGAGATAGCCGGGCTCCAGTCCCCACGAAGCCGCCATCGCCCCGAGAGTAGGTGCGTCGCCTTTCGGCATGCGTTGACGCGCTTGAAGGAGCTGCGTCGCCATGGAATCTAATGACTTGTTGCCGTTGAGCCGGGACGGGTGATTGGCCCACTTGACCAGTGACGTCAAAGTCGTGGTTGTGGGCGATTGCTTGAGATAAAGGCGTGGCTGGTCACTGGTCCATGTGTAGTACTTGACAACTTCTTCCGGCGTGCTGTGCATGGTGAGCAATTGTGACGCCGCCGGCTTGGACGGCGGTGAAGACACTCCGTGAAGAGACTGAATGATCCGGGGTTGCACCGCGCTATCAAACGACTTGCCATCAAGGGCCGCTGCGCTGGCTGTAGGAAGGGAGCTGGCAGGTGACGAGGATGGTGTGTGGTTGACCGGTGGCGGTGTAACCAACTCTGCATCATCTTTCTGGCTTGCCATCGTGGGAGAGGTCGAAGCGCGCAGCGATGCTGAATACTGAGCCTGGAGCAGCTCATGCGCACGATTTAGATCATTGTACTTCTTGACCATGTCATCTGTCTGGGTGGAAGGTGTGAGAGAAGCGTGGTGTTGCTGAAGAAATTGAAGTACCAAGCTGGCCAAATGGTCATGAACCTTGATCCGCTGATTGAAGTCATCGATGTTGAGACCCAGCGAGTTGGCAAGGTCCTTTTCCAGGGTGAGCAGGTTGATCGACTGTGATCGTCGTAGTAGTTTGGAACAGGTACTCCAAAGTAAGGCCTCGGTGCGAGTGCGAAAGCCTTCCCACGTCACGAATCTGCCGTGAGCGAACGGTCGGAGCAGCCAGTTGGTGAGGCCCCCATGAATAACCTGAACCAGGCGAACGTCACGAATATCCATGCCTGACATGTCGCGCAGGTTGCCATGCGGAGTGTTGGCAACGGTCATGGGCAGGCTAAAGTTGTAGAGCTGATTGACATCAAACATGCCATCTCCAGGTGTCCAGTCAGGCGATGGTGTAAGCCAGGCTTTCTGAGGGCGAACCGGTAGAGCCGCAGGAGGTCCAGGTGGCGGTGTAGGTTGCGGAGTAGTGACCGGTGGTGGCATCACGGGTGGCATGAACTTCGTTGGCGTGGGGTCTGGAGGGATCGGCATCATGTAGTTGATCGCTGGGTGTTGGAATTGCTGTGTGGGACTGTGAGTCGATTGAAAATTGGTGGGCATCATCGGGAAATTGTTGGCAGAGTTGTAGCCGGAATTGTGTTGCCAAGATACCAGGTTGTTCCAATCCATGCCTTCCGAGACGTGGTGGTCATTGTGTTCACGTCGGTGTGCTTTACGAGCCTGAGGAGAAGTACTCCGATCACGTCTGCGCCGAGTCCTGGATCTATCACGATCATCACGTCGAGACATGGTTACACAATCGACTCTCAATCTTCACGCTTCCATCTTGAGAGACACGTATCAGACAACAAGCAAATCCATGCAACGGCAAGGTATCAACGAATCCAACAAATGGCAAGCAAACATCGATGGTGAGACGTCTCTATGATCTGACCGCTGTCTTCCCTTTAGTGAGACCTCGTTCCTGGTTAAATGTGAAATTCCGCTGTTCTATGATAAGCACGTTGAGGTCAAATTTTCCGACAGAGCCGGCCCGGGGTCACACAATGGGTACACCCGAGGATTCCCCACGAATGGGGTGTACACACTTAAACTCCAGATGGAGAGTGCTAATCTTTCGAGTACAACTGATGAGTCTCGAGTACAACTGATGAGTCTCGAGTGGGTGTGGGTTCAGCTCGCAATGCACTCGGTTTCACTCTAGTGTCGAAAACGTTACCAGTTCCAACATGAAGCACACACAGCGAGCGAAAGGAGAGGGCCAAAAGGACTTTCATCAACATCACTTCACAACCGCAGGTACACACGGGTGATCAATCCGTGCATCCACCATCAAGCATAGCTTCGTTGGCCAGCGTTTGCTTGATGGCCGCTGGCCCCCTGCTGAGAAACCGAAAGGGTGGTGACAGGGCATTCTGTCACTCCGCACACACACACACACCCACCCACCCACCCACGCACGCACGCACGCACGGACGCACGCACCCACACACACACACACATGCACACACAAAGCACACACAAAGCACACACAAAGCACACACAAAGCACACACAAAGCACACACAAAGCACACACAAAGCACACACACACACAAAGCACACACAAAGCACACACAAAGCACACAGACACACAAACACACACACACAAACAAAGCATGTCCCGCAGAAGCCAGGAGTAACTCCACCATCCACATCCTCGGTAACATTCATGATTGTCCTTTGAAATGGCACACCTGGCTACGAATCGAGCAGCTTATGAATCTGGGTGTTCATCAGGAAGTTTTTGCCCTCACTTTAGTGCTTCCAGTAACCATAATACAAGAAACCACAAGAATCCATCCAGGGCAAAGTCTACCTGGAGTCTCCTTCTGAGCCTTAAAAGCGGGGTCACCCGAAATCAAGGGGTTCTGGATCCATGTTTTCAGTGTCATGGAGACTTCAGCTAAAGACACAGCGGCCTGGTTACCTACTATGTGGTCACACGTTTGTGCGTGTCTCATGTTGGGAGGACTGGTGGCAAGATGCCGAGCAGCAGTTGGAGGACTGGGAAGTTGGCAAAGCGGGTTGGGCGATTCCTCAACGTCCCCCAGCAATTGGTGCCCTTTCTCACCCCTTTTTTGGTTGGGAGGGTTCCCCTACTAAAAGGCTACAGAAAAATATGGTACCCTTGTTCTAACCGCTCTACTGAGCACCTAGTCAACACCTATAGCTCGAACCTCATGTTTGCTCCCCTTTTCTAGGGGTGGAAGTACATACAAAGTCCTTGTTCATACACCTTGGCTTCCCTGGTTTCCAAGCCACTTTTAAAAAAACATCAGCGGGCCTTCTGGGTACATTTGCCCAAGGAGTATGTGAAAGGGGTATGTGCAAGCTGGACCTTTGCCTCAAAGGATATGGACCTTTCAATGCTTTGCTTCAGTTTCCTTTGGTCCCATCCAAAGAGGCTGCTCTCAACGAGAGATCACCGGAACTGCAGGTTGATTCGTTGCAAAAGCGGGACACGACCTGATCTCAGCTTTTAGTTTCCCTGGTTTGGTCTTTGGGCCCCTCAGAGTCACAACTGAGAGTTTGATTCATCCAGGTTGATCAATTTTTGATCTGGGAAGTTGGGAGTTGCCATGGCGTTTTGCAGATCGCAGTGAACAAGCGCGCAACAGTCCCGGCCGGTTTTGGGCTAAGACGAGGTCATGATGAAGGTCTTACCCGAGGAGTGCGAACTCGCTTGTGCAGATGTGTTTGTCTCCTACGCTGGCAAAGGCAATCATTGGGAACATCATAGCAGCAGGCGTTTTTGTTCGGCCTTTTCTCCGTGCCCCCCAAAAAAAACGGGGACGGCTTTTGGCAGGAGGAGCGTCAAGCGGCACAGGCCCGGCGCTCCGGTGCTTTCGCTGAGCTCCAAGCCTTTGGGTAAAAAGCGCCCATTGCTTTGGTTGGCCCTTTCTTGCTTCATGGGGGCTGGGGGCTGAGCGGAGGGAGCCGAATAAAGCCCTTAAGCCCTTAATTAGGGCTTGCTTGGGCACCCTGCCCCCTCCCTCCCCTGCAGCCCCCCATGATTGCTTCGATAGACAGGGAATGAGAAATGGAATCTCCCCGAGAAAAACCATTCATCCGATTTGGTGTCCTAGGGAATCCCTAAAATCGGTTCATTCAGCGAACACCCGGACTCGGAAAGTCATTCTCTGCCTATCGCAGCAAGTTATCTTAGAAAAATCAAGGGTTCCGAGGCATCCATAAGGACACCTCCACAAGTAGCGATTTCCATGGAAGCCACCGGCATTTTTTGCTCGCCCATTTCGAACCGGGGAAATCCAGGCAGTTTTTGTGGGCAACCCTTTCAAAACCACACGCAGGGGGCCCCGGCTTCGCCTTCGGTTTTCGCATGGAGAGTTTTCGGTGGAGAAACCCTGTGGGATTCAGCAGACCACCCCATTTTTTTTTGCGCTAGGGTCATAAGCCGTAGGGGCTGGTAGGTTACTATACTTACCTCTTAAAAACACAACTTTTCAACTTTTTTGGCAACATGGGCTATATGTCTGTAAAAGATTCACTTCCCCAGGGCTTGGAGTTTTAAGGGGTAAGTATAAGGAACTTCCATTCTGACATGCCACGGAGGCCCAATTGCAAGATGAGCGCAAGGCGGGCCACTTGCGGGAAAGGGCGCATCACTCAAGGTGTTTTTTACTCGATATGTGACTCCTGCCACTGGAAGGAGCAGCGGGGGGGGGGGGGGGTGGGGGCTATTCCCCTTTGAGGTGGATTTCAATATCACCTTTTGGGATGTCATGGGATGTCCAAGTTTGGGAAACCAAAAGAGCCTGGCACTGCTTTTTGGTTTTGCTTCGACTTTGTTCCAGGCCTCCCATTTTAACACCCAGTTCCCTTCGGGGACGAGTCTTATTCTTGCTGGTTCTCAGAAAATCAGTTGGAATGATCCCCCCCTCAAAGCAAAAGAACACAAACTCCCAACTGGCGGTTCCGTTTGAAGGGGATCGATCCCCTTCCGGGTTCCCCAAACTGATTCGCTGGACGGTTCCACGGATTCGCTGCTCGCGGTGTGAGTCCAAAGCCAATCGTCTGGCCGCAGTTCTGGGGCGCCTCTGCGATTTCTAGTGATGGAACAGTCTTGGGCCGGTGGGAAGTCTCATTTTGAGTGAAATCCACGTTCTGTGACCAATCAGGGGAATCTCCCTCTTTGAAATGAGAACCACATCAGTTGGCCCACTTTGATGTTGCAGACAAGAAACCTGTCAACTACCGGAGACAACCACTTTGATGCCACAAAAAAGCACTTGTCAACAGCCATGCGCAGTTTTGGAGCCCGTTCAGGACGATCAAGATGATTGGCAAGGCACAAGGGAAGCCCCAACGGAGGCGGGAACCAGGCGTTGCCGTCAAGTACTGTGAGCGATGAAAACATGTTGCGTTGTCCAGGCTGGGTGGCAAGGTGCCGACCAATATTCGTGGAAGGCTGGTGTTTGCAGAAGTACCTGGACCCTCAAACTACTCGTCAAAAAGTTGGATTTCACCAGCCACAATGTTGGGTTGCAACTCGCCCATTTTTAAGCTGGAATCTTGAAGGTAATCGAGAGAGGACCGTTTGGTTCTGCACGTTAGGTTTCTACTCCCTGTGCAAGCCAAGTAAAGGGCTTGCAGGAGGTGGCAAGATGCATGTGAGAAGCTGCTTCACCAATGCAATGGGGGTCTTGTTAGTGTGCTCAGAGGTAATCCTATGGTTTCGCTTGGGATTATCGGTTGGGCGCAGTCTGGGGTGCGCCGTTCAGGATGGAAAGGAGTCTTGGAAGGAGGCTGGAGCCAACTTGTGTTGTCGTGAATCCGCACGTGTGTTGCTTCTCGGTGGGGTTCATAGGTCTTCCATTTCGTCACATGTTGCGGATCTGGGCATTTGTTTTGCTCGTTTCAGATTTTGAGCGGACAACAATGGATTGAGCGGAAACCTGGATTTGGCATGATTTTGCCAGAAATTGAGCGGAAGCGGAGCGGACATCAGCGGGACATGACCGGACATTTGCGGACACACACCAGAACAAATGTCCAATTGGGAGTTATTTTTCTCTATGTGAGCGTTTTGGGTTGAAATGAGTGTTTTGCAGTTCGAGAAAAAAGAAGAAGAACAAACGTGCCCAAGGAAGCCCTAGGTATAAAAAGGATAGTGGGGCCTGCAACGAAAGCGTATTTCGCTATTCAGGCTGGCTGGCAAACTGCCGGTCAAGATTCGTGGCAGGCTGGAGTTTTCAGTAGAGCGAATGTGTGTGTGTGTGTGTGTGTCTGTGTTTGTGTGACTGTACTTGTGCAGTTGCTCTTGTCAGGGTCAGTCTTCATTTTGGACTTGAGATTCCTTGGTGTAGGTCCGGTGGCAAGATGATCATGCTGACTGCACCGATTGGCAGGCCCTAAGCAATAGAGAGATGACCGTTTGGTTCTGTACGTTAGGTTTCTACTCCCTGTGCGAGCCAAGTAAAGGGCTTGCAGGAGGTGGCAAGATGCATATGAGAAGCTGCTTCACCAAAGCAATGGGGGTCTTGCTAGTGTGCTCAGAGGGAACCCTATGGTTATCGGTTGGGCGCAGTCTGGGGTGCGCCATTCAGGATGATCAAGTTGGCCACGCTGACGGAAAGGAGTCTTGGAAGGAGGCTGGAACCAACTTGTTGTTGTGAATCCGCGTGTGCGTTGCTTCTCGGTGGGGTTCATATCGGTTCTAACCAGGCTCCCGCCTGCTGCTGCCGACTTTCGGCAGTCACAAACATGAGCGCCAGTCCGGAAATTGCTGTTTGGGGGTTTGCGCCCAATTCATATCAAGCAGCATCCGACGCCAGTCCCCACCCAGAGGTCCTCCCGCGACTAGCCCTGGGACGTGCGCCCTGGGACCGGGTCCTGGGACTGGTCCTGGGACCGGTAGGGTCGGCGGGGTCAAAAAGGGAGCCTCCAATGAAAACATGTTACGGTGTCCAGGCTGGCTGGCAAAGTGCCGGTCAAGATTCGTCGCAGGCTGGAGTCGTGGAGGGAATGTGCGTGCGTGCGTGCGTGCGTGCGTGCGTGCGTGCGTGCGTGCGTGCGTGCGTGCGTGTGTGTGTGTGTGTGTGTGTACTTGTGCGGTTGCTCTTGTCAGGGTCAGTGTTAGTTATGGATTTGCAGACTTCCCTTGATTCAGGGCTGGTGGCAAGATGATCGAGATGCTGCCCGCAACGATTGGCAGGCCCAAAGCTGAGCCCAATCGATAGTCACGCAAGCGAAGCCATATCAGTACCTCTGAGCAGACTAGCAAGACCCCTGTTGCTCTTGTCACATTGCTGATGGGACCTGTGCTGCATCTTGAACCTCATGCATCTTTAGCCTCACTTCATCGTTTATCCAACAATGCGGAAAACACAAAAAGAAAAGATGCTTCGTTTGGGTTGCCATGACAAATCGTAGAAACCCCATGAGGAGAACGAAAAGTCATTTTTGGTCTCGATTTGCTTTGGGATGCGCCGTTAGGATGATAGGGGGGAGGCTGCACCAACTTGTGTTGCTGCGGAGCAGTATGCGCATGACGTGTTTGCTCGGTTCACGGCGATTTGTCTGCCTGAGTATTTGATGATCCAAAAAGAGGGTCCGGCCGCCGTGATGAAAGAGTGTTACACTGTCCAGGCTGGCTGGCAAGGTGCTGATCAAAATTCGCGGAAGGCTGGAATCTTCAGCCGGGCGAATGTGTGTGCTGTGTGTTTACATGTGCAGTTGCTCTTGTTGCATGGTCGATTCAAGACATCCCTTGATTCAGGGCCGGTGGCAAGATGACCACGATGCTGGCCGCAACGGTTGGCAGGCCCACAGCGAACTCTAGGTTTCTACGACTTGTCATGGCATTCTTTTGGTTGTAAGCTAAAGAAGGGGTTTGCATGAGACGCAAGATGCATGTGAGATGGCGCAGTCTTTACGAACATGTCAACGAAAGCAAGACAAGCTCTTTGGAGGCAATCCTCATTTTGAAAGTGGTTGGTTTTTCTTTTGCAGTGGTTTCGCTTGAGGTATGTTCGATGGGGCAGTCTTCAGATATCCCCAACCCGATTAAATTGGGAGGGGGGGGGGGGTGATCTTTGGAATTCCATGCATGGTTCATCTTTTTGTTGTTTATTTCTTTAACGGGGAGACTAGACAATTGGAATTGAGGGACACCCCTTCCCCTGAGGTAGCGGGTATCTTGGGAGCCACCGCTCAGGACGATCAGGAAGATTGGCAAGCTGACAGACGAGAATTGTGGAGGGAGGCAAGACCTGCGTTGAAGTGAAGTAGCGTGTGCATGACTTGTTTGTGTGACGATTTCATTGCATGAAAACGTGATGGCCCAAAAGAGGGCCCGGCGACAAAAACATGGGTACTCTGACCAATCTGGAGGGCAATGTGCCAATCAAGATTCGTGGAAGGGTACGATTTTCAGCAGGGTGATGTTTTTTTTTTTTTTTAATGTTTGCACTTGCTCCTCTCGGCGGGGTCCGTGTCAGCGTTTAATTTGCAAACATCCCTTGATTCAGGGCCGGTGGCAAGATGACCACGATGCTGGCCGCAACGGTTGGCAGGCCCAAAGCGAATTCTAGGTTTCTACGACTTGTCATGGCAACACAAAAAAGGCAACTTGTTACTTTCGGTTCGGGTTCTTTTGGTTGTAAGCTAAAGAAGGGGCTTGCATGAGACGCACGATGCATGTGAGATGGTGCAGTCTTTACGAACATGTCGACGAAAGCAAGACAAGCTTTGGAGGCAATCCTCAAAGGGAATCCAGCAGAGATGACCTTTTGCTTTTCAAAGTTGGCTTTTTCTGATTCGTCATTGCTACCCAAAAAGAGCGATTCGTTATTTCTAGGTCCTTTTGTTGCAAGTTAAGTAATTAAAGAGCTTGCACGAGGTGCCATCCCATCAGCAATGTGATATATCTGGATTGGGCGCAGTCTTGGTCCTTTGGGGATGAGGATCGTTTGCAAACTGACGGAAGGGAATGGAGGGAGGCTGGAACCAACCTGCGTTGATTTCGAGCAGCGCATGCATTTTCTTGTTGTTGCAGTTGACGCCGATTTATTTGCATGAGTGCATGATGATCTAAGTGAAAGAATGTTACTCTGTCCAGGCTGGCTGGCAAAGTGCCGATCAAGATGCACGGAAGGCTGGAGTTTTCATATCAGCAGAGCGTTTGTCATTTGCAGACATCCCTTGATTCAGGTTTGGCGGCAAGATGATCAGGATGCTGACCGCAACGGTTGGCAGGCCCGACGCGAAACCACTAGAGATGACCTTTGCGTTCTTCGCTTTAGGCTTCTGTGACTTGCTATGGCAACCCAGAACTGCCTGTTCTGTCCAGTTCATTTGGTTGCAAGTTCAATAAAGAGCATGCATGAGCGAGATACATGCGAGAAGACGCAGGGCAGATCCCATGAAGAAAGGGACGCGTCAAGAAATTGAATAGTATTTTGGCAAGGGAACTCCCAAGTGCCAGTGTGAAAGGATTCCCCGCATGTGCAAAAGGCTTTCCTGTGAGGATAATGGATTGACGCGGGGTGTGACGTTCAGGATGATCAGCATTGTTGGCCAGCTGACGGAAGGGCGTGGAGGGAGGCTGGAACCAACCTGTGTTGATTTCGAGCAGCACATGCATTTTATTGTTGCAGTTTACGCCGATTTCTTTGCATGAGTACATGATGATCTAAGTGAAATAATGTTACTCTGTCCAGGCTGGCTGGCAAAGTGCCGATCAAGATGCACGGAAGGCTGGAGTTTTCATATCAGCAGAGCGTTTGTCATTTGCAGACATCCCTTGATTCAGGTTTGGCGGCAAGATGATCAGGATGCTGACCGCAACGATTGGCAGGCCCAAAGCGAATCGAGCAGAGATGACCTTTTGCTTTTCAAAGTTGGCTTTTTCTGATTCGTCATTGCTACCCAAAAAGAGCGATTCGTTATTTCTAGGTCCTTTTGTTGCAAGTTAAGTAATTAAAGAGCTTGCACGAGGTGCCATCCCATCAGCAATGTGATATATCTGGATTGGGCGCAGTCTTGGTCCTTTGGGGATGAGGATCGTTTGCAAACTGACGGAAGGGAATGGAGGGAGGCTGGAACCAACCTGCGTTGATTTCGAGCAGCGCATGCATTTTCTTGTTGTTGCAGTTGACGCCGATTTATTTGCATGAGTGCATGATGATCTAAGTGAAAGAATGTTACTCTGTCCAGGCTGGCTGGCAAAGTGCCGATCAAGATGCACGGAAGGCTGGAGTTTTCATATCAGCAGAGCGTTTGTCATTTGCAGACATCCCTTGATTCAGGTTTGGCGGCAAGATGATCAGGATGCTGACCGCAACGGTTGGCAGGCCCGACGCAAGGCCACTAGAGATGACCTTTGCGCTCTTCACTTTAGGCTTCTGTGACTTGCTATGGCAACCCAGAACTGCCTGTTATGTCCAGTTCATTTGGTTGCAAGTGCAATAAAGAGCGTGCATGAGCGAGATACATGCAACAGGACGCAGGGCAGATCCCATGAAGAAGGGGACGCGACAAGAAATTGAATAATGTTTTGGCTGTTTAAAGGGAACTCCCAAGTGCCAGTGTGAAAGGATTCTCTCCTGTGCAAAGGCTTTCCTGTGAGGATAATGGATTGACGCGGGGTGTGACGTTCAGGATGATCAGCATCGTTGGCCAGCTGACGGAGGGGAATGGAGGGAGGCTGGAACCAACCTGTGTTGATTTCGAGCAGCGCATGCATTTGCTTGTTGTTGCAGTGTACGCCGATTTCTTTGCATGAGTACATGATGATCTAAGTGAAAGAAGGTTGCCCTTTCCAGGCTGGCTGGCAAAGTGCTGATCAAGATGCACGGAAGGCTGGAGTTTTCATATCAGCAGAGCTTTTGTCATTTGCAGACATCCCTTGATTCAGGTTTGGCGGCAAGATGATCAGGATGCTGACCGCAACGGTTGGCAGGCCCTACGCGAAACCACTAGAGATGACCTTTGCGTTCTGTGACTTGCTATGGCAACCCAGAACTGCCTGTTATGTCCAGTTCATTTGTTGCAAGTGCGATAAAGAGCTTGCATGAGCGAGATACATGCGAGAAGACGTAGGGCAGATCCCATGAAGAAAGGGACGAGACAAGCAATTAAATAATATTTGGCTTTTTAAAGGGAATTCCCAAGTGCCAGTGTGAAAGGATTCCCCCTGTGCAAAGGCTTTGCTGTGAGGATAATGGATTGACGCGGGGTGTGACGTTCAGGATGATCAGCATCGTTGGCCAGCTGACGGAGGGGAATCGTGGAGGGAGGCTGGAACCAACCTGTGTTGATTTCGAGCAGCGCATGCATTTGCTTGTTGTTGCAGTGTACGCCGATTTTTTTGCATGAGTACATGATGATCTAAGTGAAAGAAGGTTGCCCTTTCCAGGCTGGCTGGCAAAGTGCTGATCAAGATGCACGGAAGGCTGGAGTTTTCATATCAGCAGAGCGTTTGTCATTTGCAGACATCCCTTGATTCAGGTTTGGCGGCAAGATGATCAGGATGCTGACCGCAACGGTTGGCAGGCCCGACGCGAAACCACTAGAGATGACCTTTGCGTTCTGTGACTTGCTATGGCAACCCAGAACTGCCTGTTATGTCCAGTTTATTAGGTTGCAAGTGCGATAAAGAGCGTGCATGAGCGAGATTCATGCAAGAGGACGCAGGGCAGATCCCATGAAGAAAGGGACGCGTCAAGAAATTGAATAATGTTTTGGCTGCTTAAAGGGAATTCCCAAGTGCCAGTGTGAAAGGATTCCCCCCTGTGCAAAGGCTTTCCTGTGAGGATAATGGATTGACGCGGGGTGTGACGTTCAGGATGATCAGCATCGTTGGCCAGCTGACAGAGGGGAATCGTGGAGGGAGGCTGGAACCAACCTGTGTTGATTTCGAGCAGCGCATGCATTTGCTTGTTGTTGCAGTGTACGCGATATTCATGCAAGAGGACGCAGGGCAGATCCCATGAAGAAAGGGACGCGTCAAGAAATTGAATAATGTTTTGGCTGCTTAAAGGGAATTCCCAAGTGCCAGTGTGAAAGGATTCCCCCCTGTGCAAAGGCTTTCCTGTGAGGATAATGGATTGACGCGGGGTGTGACGTTCAGGATGATCAGCATCGTTGGCCAGCTGACAGAGGGGAATCGTGGAGGGAGGCTGGAACCAACCTGTGTTGATTTCGAGCAGCGCATGCATTTGCTTGTTGTTGCAGTGTACGCCGATTTCTTTGCATGAGTACATGATGATCTAAGTGAAAGAAGGTTGCCCTTTCCAGGCTGGCTGGCAAAGTGCTGATCAAGATGCACGGAAGGCTGGAGTTTTCATATCAGCAGAGCGTTTGTCATTTGCAGACATCCCTTGATTCAGGTTTGGCGGCAAGATGATCAGGATGCTGACCGCAACGGTTGGCAGGCCCGACGCGAAACCACTAGAGATGACCTTTGCGTTCTGTGACTTGCTATGGCAACCCAGAACTGCCTGTTATGTCCAGCTCATTTGGTTGCAAGTGCAATAAAGAGCGTGCATGAGCGAGATTCATGCAAGAGGACGCAGGGCAGATCCCATGAAGAAAGGGACGCGTCAAGAAATTTGAATAATGTTTTGGCAAGGGAATTCCCAAGTGCCAGTGTGAAAGCATTCCCCCCTGTGCAAAGGCTTTCCTGTGAGGATAATGGATTGGCGCGGGGTGTGACGTTCAGGATGATCGGCATCGTTGGCCAGCTGACGGAAGGGAATGGAGGGAGGCTGGAACCAACCTGTGTTGATTTCGAGCAGCGCATGCATTTTCTTGTTGGTTCAATACACGCCGATTTCCTTGCATAGATGATGATCCAAGAAGAGGGGCCGCGACGAAAGGATGCTGGGCCGTCCCAGGCTGACTGGCAAGGTGCCGATCAAGACGCACGGAAGGCTGGAGTGTTCATTTCAGCAGAGCAAATGTGCACGTGTGGACATGCCTTGATTCAGGGCTGGTGGCAAGATCACCAGAATGCTGACCGCAATGATTGGCAGGCCCGAAGTGATACCGCCAGAGATGACCATTCGTTTCGCCCTTTCGGTTTCTATGACTTATCATGGCAACCCAAGAAGTTTACTTGTTATGTCCAGGTCTTTTGGTCGCAAGCGAGGTAAAGAGTGTGCGTGCACGCGCGAGGCGCACGGTTTGAAGATGCACTTGGCTTCAAAGTAGGGTCTTTGTTTAGTGCCGTGGATTTCCTTTGTTTTCTCGGAAGCCCCGAGTGATCGACGCAGGGCCAGTGGCACGATGCGAACCGCGATGGGCAGGCACTTTGAGCGAAGGGTATCCTGGCGCATGGGGTTTGTTCGATTTCGCCAATTGTTCGGAGCTGAATTGGTGGTTGGGAGCATGGGATGGTTTTAACATGTTCTGAGTTTCAGGGGTTCAAATCCTTCAACCACCAATCCAAACCACCAACCAGGGGTTGTTTGAGGGTTGATTGCGGGGTATCTCCCCCCATGTTTTATCCAGGCTGATTCATCAGTCGAACTGGCTAATGTACGGCGGCCATGTTCTATCCCTTAATGATCCTTAATGTGTTTGTTTTAGTCTGGCATCGTACGTGTAGAAGGGGAATGTCAAGTGCTCTCAATGGCAGATGATGTTTAGATTGCAAGTTGAGCCAACACGGACAGAGTTGTATTTGTCCAAAAGGTTGGCTGGCAAGATGCCAATGAATTGTTGGGGAAGGCCAGATCTTCAAATAAGAAGCAACCTGGGCTTCGAGCAATGTCACCGGGGAGTGGTCTTGGGTGGTCCTCTATCAGGCAGGAAAACACATATTGCAGCATATTCATGGCTACCTGGACTCTCGAACTACCCATTTGTGAGGGAATTTTGAGGGCCGTGGCATATATCCAGCGGAATGGGAGTTTGCTAACTGGGCATACCTACTAAATAACAGGGGGTATCCTGCTAAGCAGTGGAGCATGTTTGCGACCAACCAATGAAGGGCGTGCAATTGATGACTCAATTCATTCCTTGGCAGCCCTGCTGGCAGACATGTTCAGCACCTTGGAGTTATTTACCCTTGTGTGAGCCTCTTGGTGTTTTATTCAATTTTATTCCCACAAATTTATGTCGGCAGAGGTGCATCTGAACGCTATCTAAATTCAGGGGCCCGATCAACCCCCGCCCTCAGGCCCCCAAGCCTTCTTGGGCCTTATTTGCATGCAGCGTTGACCCACACGGATCGTCTACCGGCTCGGTTTCTCCGATCCTCTGAAAGATGAAAAGAGATAGAAGAGTTGGGTCGCTTGTGTTTGGTCTCCTTGTCCAGCGTTGGCAAATTTCCGATCGGGTCTTCTATGTTTGGGATTCAGTGGCGCCAGGATGCCTGGCAATCTGGCGATGGTTGGCGAGACGGAGATAGCTGGCAGGCCGGACTCAGCTCCTGAGTTCCCGAAAGCCGACCGTCGACGTTTTTGTTTTCCTGACTTGGTCCGTTTTCAGTCAAACAATTCATGTCCCGGCCCTTTGGGAAGTCGAAATGCGAATTTTCAGAGCCATGTCAGGGGAACCATTGCAGCCGAATAGTCATCGTGAATGACTATGGGTGATGGTTTTCAGGGCGATTTAGGATCATAACCTTCCAATGGCTGCCAACTTGCTGTGGCTCAACAATCATTGTTCGACTTGGGCAGGGTTGCTCTAAACATATCAAACCACAAGCGTTTTTCATGTTCTTGTCTTTTCTCCAGTGGCCCTGTTTGCCAGAGTCTTCGAGCAACCCACAACCAGAGAGCAGTGGGTTCAACTGGTTTTCGCGGCCAACCTTGCTGGTGAGTTTGGGGTTCGCGGTATGACTTGCCAGATCTGAGCTTGCCCCATGGGGAAGCGGATGTCAAAGCTTGCTTGTTGAACCCCCCCGTCACTCAAGTCAAGTCAGTTGAGGTTTCTTTTTGTGTGGAAGATACCTACCAAACCACATCAAGTGAGGGCAACTGCCGCCCATGAGATCTGAGTTGGGACTACCGGCAATCCATAGTTTGCCTGGATTGCTTGACTTAAGACGAGGCTTTTCCTTGATGAACCACTGCCCTAGGGTTCAGCCATTAAAAGAATGGCAAGGACCCAATTTGGATGATGCCAATCCTTAGGTAAGCAATGGTGGATACATGAACCCAACCATTCTTTTGAGGGTGGCCTGCAACTGAACTGAACCCCTGGGTACAGACGCCATGGATTTATTGGTTGTTTGAACCCCACAGACTGGGCTGACACATCGCGAGACGCACGACATATCCTGAGGATTGGCGGGGAGCTGACAGAGAAGACGCCTGGCAGGTCTGGCTCGGGAGGAAAAGTTGAGAAACTGTTGCTGGGGCGACATCGGACTGGCAGGGGTGTACGTTCCCGAAAAGTGATCCACATCCTCTCCAACATGGAGCACCCCATGCCAGAACAAAATCAACTAGGGTGTATGAAGCTGGGGTCAACATGACCCTTCTTATCGGGCAACCCTCCTCTTCAGGGCAACCCCAGACATTTGATTGAGCAGGGGACACAACTCAAAATTTACATGTTCCATGTGTTTTTTCTAAGGGAGCCGGGAAAGCGAACATTTTTCAGGGCACGTATTTTGGGCGATTCCCCTTCCAGCCACGAATCAAACGGAAACAGGGCCCAAGGAATTTGGCATGTGTGTTGCCGGGGTACTATAAAACCAGATGGCTGTGGGTCAAAACCCTGTGCCCCTGGCGAACATCAAAATAGGTGGTACATGGGAGTTGATCCGCCGTGGGTTATGACCCATGGCCAGACTGTCTACCTCGTGATCAGCGAGACGGAACTCCCATTTTTATTACGGTAGCTCGAGCGTCCAGGTTCATGCTAAGACATCACACACTTTGGCAAAAGAACCGCCCTGACCGCTGCCAGGATACTGGGAGAGGTTGGTGAGATGGCCGAGCAAGCAGCAAGATCCGCCATGGAGTGAAGGCTGGCCAAATGAAACTTCAGCAGGGCCTTAATCAAGCCCTGAGTAGCTGTCCCAGCCAGAAATGGGTGCGGCCGGCCCTCTTGATGTTTTGTTTCAATGATTGATTATGACTGGGATGGAAGGGGACGTACTACCGTCACGGGCAATCACGGCAACAGCAGACTTTGTCGCTGCGGACAGGCCACCCCACGGTCTACGACGCCATGACACGCAGCCGCAGACGGAAGACGGCGACCGCGCCCGCAGTGGATCTGCAGGTGCGCTGCTTTGTGGGTCAACAGGGCTCGAGCCAGCTCTAGAGGCCTCGGCAGGGAGACCTGGAGATTGGCCACAAGGGATATTTTTCGACATTTTGGGGGATGCCGCAGTTGAGCCAGAACATGATTGAGTCTTGTTGGATCAAGAAGCTGCCGCAAAAACCAGGCCGTGCGCATGGTGAAGCTGGATCCTTGTGGGCAAGGAAAGCCTTATCCAAACTCGGGCACAGGGATCCCACCCCACCCGAAGACATCTCACCATATCTCACCTGTCCCGCTTGCCAGCATATCAGGCAACCAAAAAACACGTCCTTTTGTTTTGAAAGTGTAGTTCCCTTGGTGATTTGCGGGACAAGGAGACCGCAGGTTTCAGTCCATGGTTCCATTTGCCAGGGCTTGCGCCATTTTGGGGTTACCAACGACTTTTGACAACCACAGCCGAGCACAGCCATGGAGCTTTCCCAGAAATACCTCCCTTTTCTTTGTTTTTCACTAACCAGGCAAAACATATAGTCTTTTGCTGGGGTGCGAATTCCAGCCAAGGTAGGTTGGAGTCACTGGGTCAGCCTTTGCTTGCTTCGCAGGACAAAAAGGCTGTTGAAGCATGCGCAGCTTCGCGTGGAGCTCTACGAGGTGTTTGTCCCAGGAGAGGAACAGATATCTGCACCCGAAAGAAATTCCCAGCCTTAAAAAAGGGGCAAATTTGCGACCCAAAAGTATGGTTGGTGAATTCCAACTTCTTTTGTGGGTGGTTTGAGGAGCGGCCTCCTGCCCTCCCCCCCCCCTCTTCACGCTGTCTAGCCCCCCCCCCATCCATTCCGGGAAGGCCTAAGCTCGGCAAGTGAGGAGGGCAAGGCGTTGCTGGGTCTTGCGGAACTAAGCAAATCTGGGGCTGTTTTTTGGAGGGGACCCTTCAAAATTGTAGTTTTGAGTTAGTGTTCCCCTTAAAGCGGCCCAAAAAACGTGCCCCCACAACGACACATAAGTCTGGGATGTGGGTGTTTGGGGGTTTGATCATGTCCGTGAGGAAAGCCAAAAGCGAGAGAGCCAGCAGTCCAGATCTGTTCTTGAGGGTACCAACTTGGGCAACGAGGTGACAAAGTCCCACAACCTTGGAACTAAGGAAGGACAGTGGGGACCTACTGTGAATGAACGAAATTCTGCACCACCTGAGAAAACCTGGAATGATTTGACTCCCCTGTAAATACCAAAAAACCATGGTTGCAACCATGGTTTCAAAGTGGCGCAGGATTCCGTCCATCCACGGTATGTCCCCAGAAAACCCCCAAGCCCGCCCTTCCCCTTCTGGGCAGGCTTGTTTCTTGACGATGACCAGTCACGAGATCGTGCTCTTTTCTTAGATCTTCCACTCCTCCCCCCAAAAAAGGGGCACAAGGGCGGCGGTTTGGGACCTTAAAAGGTAGGCGTCTAGACAAGTGGATGCTTCCGTCGCCCGCGCGCCTACGCACCCCTGTTCTCTTGCCCCCTTCCAACGATGGCCTTGGCCGTCTTTGATTCTCTTCATTGCTGTTGGGAAGAGATGAGGACCTTGGATCGGCCCTGTTGGTAAGTGGCGAGCATCGACGCTGCAGCCCGTTTGAATTGCCCATGTTTTGAAGTCACCCCTTTTGTAAGTGTGAAGATCCGGCTTCCGAGCACCTGGTTCCTTCCACTGTCCTTAATTTTGCATGTACCGCACAGAACTTGCCTGGAACACAGGGAACGTCGCTTCAATCCTGTAGGATGTGCTGCTGGACATGGCTTGTGCCAGAGGCTTCCGTAGAACTTGGGCTTTGAAAGGCAAACCATCTCGGCTGGGTCTTCGTGAAGCCCAGGTACGTGGCAACTCACATGCTTACATTCCAGGGTTGACTGCAACCAGGGGCTCAAAAAAGGTTACGGCTTTCTGGGCATTTGACCGCATGCGATTTGGGCTTGAAGAACACCCCCCTCCTCACGTTTTCGCTCATTTGTGGGACGCAAGCTCAGGAGACAACGAGATCTCGGACGCTGCGAGTGAAAACGAGCAGGGCTGCCACTGACCGGAGCGGGGTTTCAGGCTTGCTGTTTGTTTGGAGTTTGGTTTTAAAGGGAAATCAAAAGTTGTAGGTGTCCTTTTTGGCTTGGTTTTAAGCATTGAGGGCGATTCCTGGTTTACCTGCTGGTTCAATCATCTACCAGGGCCATCTATTTTCCAAAAAGGACACTTATGCCAAAAGCTGAAATTCATTTTGGGGGGTCCGAATCCCGATTTTCGACAGAGCGTTCTTGCCGCTGGCGGAGTCGCCTTTCGCTTTCTGGGCCGTGGCCTCTCTATATAGGGATGTTGGATCAGGATTCTGGCTTAGGAATGGCTAAGATCCATTTTTCTAGGCGTTGATTCCCCATTCTTTTAAACTAATGTTGTTTTCCAAAGCCGGCTGTTTCCCCTGGGTTTCTCATGGTTTCCTGAAAAGAAAAACGGATCCCTGGAAAGAATGGAAATGTAAGGTGCCAGTATAATTTGAGCAGCCCAGCAACTTTGGTTCCTTTTCAGGTCCACTTTGGCCCGAAGGCTCCGACGAGCTTAGACCTCAATTTGCCTTTCTGCCGTCAGTCTCAAGCTGAATAGATTCACATTGCTCCCGTGACTCACGTGGGTTTAATAACATTTCCCAGCGGATCCATTTTACATGTGTTGTTGGCAACGAATTCCAAACCAACATGTCAATGCTACCACAAGCATAGTTACTCGTATGCGAAACAGCCTCATTCTAGTTTTATGTTGGCTTCGCACAGTACGGAAAGACGATTGCACACTGATCATTGTGGTCCGAACAAAACATGATGTGTGCACGGAGGCTGTTGACACTGATATCCGGATCCATGGTCTGTAGCAGGCTGAATCATTGTATTTCCCTAAGATCGCCCCCCCCCCCCCCCTGCGTGAATTTTCCCGACACCAATGTGTTTTACCAACATGTCTGCCCGAGCCAGCCACGGATTTCTCCGCCCTACAGGTGCAGGGGCTTGCTATGGACCCAGGATTCCCCAGCGTTTTTGGTGAGCTTAGCCCCGACAATATGTTGGAAGCACCATGGCTTTTTCATTTGCAGCGGTGGGAGCAACCCAGTGTTTTTTGTTTTTTCCGGACGGGCAATCCATCGATCGGACCCGTGCTTTGGGTGGAGCCATCGCGATGCCCGTCGTTTCCCTCGCGGAGTGCGAGTCGGATGCGGAAGCGAGCCAAAGCAGCTTGCTGCCGAAGGACGTTTCTGGGTCGTCGTGCTTACATGGACTACCTGGAGTCTGGGGTCACCCAAAATAGACAGGTCGTGGGCCCATGTTTGAAGGATCATGCAGGTACCAATAAAAAAGGGAATTCATCAAGTTGCAAAAGCACATGTTTGAAGTTGGCATTTTGAGGGTAGGAAAAAACGGAGTCGGGTCTCCTGCAAAGCTTGTTTATTTAGGGCAGGCCAAATAGCAAGCATAATCTGAACACATTTCTTGTTTGGAGCATCCCAGATGTGGGCCGTAAATGAATTATCTGGACCCTCGCAATTCCCTTAAACGTGTGTTTTTGCCCAAAATTCTGGGGTGAGTTATGGGTAGTTCTTCGTGTCCAGGTACCTTATTCTTTGATGGACGAACTTCAATTCGCACTTAGGAAACCGTAGTTGAAACCATTTTGCTTGTCGGAAAAAAAGGGGGAATCATAAATCATTCCGTCGGATTTCTTAGGTGGTGCGAAATGGATTTCGTCCATCCAAAGTAACAGTTTTGCCAAATCCCTCCCCTCAGGCCCTTGTCGGTCCATGCTACCTGAATTGTTGGCCTCGTGTTCTACCATCTCCAGTCTGGGGGAATTTGCCGTACCTGGACCTCACAATTCCAACTCAAACATGGGCTCTTGCCCCAAGCATATGGGGTGAATTCCCTTTTTCCAGTTCGAGGGTCCAGGTACTTCACAGTGAGGAATCTCCCTTGCGGAGATCGACTCGTGTGCCTTGGGGTTGGGAGCCTTCGCCCATGCCATGCGCAGCACTCAGCCGAAAGGAGCTTTTTGGTCACGTGAGCCACGTCCTCCAAATCCCGAAGATTGATGAAGATCAGTTGGGGACAATCCCATTGCCAGAGGCGCAGCCGCCCTTTGAGTTCTTGAAGCATGTTTCCTCACTTCCTGAGTTCATGAACTTTAATCTTCTTGGGAAGACCATTTTAGTGGTAAATATAAAGTTGAAACTTTTTGTTGGGCCTTCCACTCAGCAAGTGAGTTTCTGGGGATCGACCATTTTAGTACCGATTCGGTGGAGAAGCGGGAGCCCAGACTTCTTCAGGACTCATCTCCTGTCCCAGCCAACACCCGCCGCTGGCCCAGCAACCCCGCGCTGGCGGCGATCGCCGCGGCGCTGGCGGCTGTGGCGCTGGCGTCACGCGTCTTACTCCCCTGAAATAGACTTGGGACACATTTTACATTTTACCAGCGACTCAAAGTGAAGCAAGCAATAACATATACATTCTATAACTGGGCCTAACTCTGATTATTCAGGTTTTCTTCCCTTTGCTTAAGAATATGTCGTATTCTCCCCTGTTGGTTTTAAAGGGAATCTAATACTACTGGAAATATGGTTGTTTTTTCCAGGGGGCTTAAGCAAATGCAAGTGTTTGTCTGTGTGTGTGTGTTTCTAAGAATCGTGGGCTCTCCCAAAAATCGGTCTTTTCCCCCCTAACAATCCACTTGCTGAAGTGAATATGTTTCATTATCCCCAGGATTAAACGGAATCGGGGACTCAAGCAAATGGAGGCTAGGGATCATTCAAAGCCTGTTTTGTCTTTGAGGGTTGATTAAATATGGAACAAATCAGAAAATCGATTACTTTTATGTTTGCCCCAGAAGTCGGCCAAGGATGCTGGCTGGTTTTTGGTTTGACCAAATCGGAACGTTTGCACCTTTGGAAGCAATGGCTGCGTCAAAGCTGACCACATTATATTGCCTTGGGATGAAGTCAGAAACTGGGGTCCTTTTCCTTTAACTTGGGTGTTTAACCAACTTAGCAAGCCAGGTACAACCATGGTTATAAGCCAACTAACCTGAATTTCGGTGCGGGGCGGGCTCGGCTCGGCGAGTGCACAAACGACCGCTTCGCTACAAAGCGAGTGCGCGCACGACCAAAATCCAAGCGCACAGACGACCACGAGTGCACAGACGAAGCCCTGCCAACTATGGAAAGCCTCCGTATAGCCACGTCAGTAGAACCAAATGGGTGTGGGACCCAAAATGATGGCTTACCCTGGTAAGTGGAAACAAGGACGAAAACCTGCGGTTTTTGGTGACTGAATTTTGACCCGTACCCAAATGTCAATGGGTTGTGGCGGCGCTGCTCGACTAACTTGCCATATTTCGCGCTGGCTTTCCCTGAAAAGTCCAAACCCTTGTCCTGTTGACGGCGAACTCAAAGGACGTGGTTTGAACAAAAGCGGCTCAAACATGTTTCTCCTGGGAAACCAACCGGAGGTGGTCGCAACAATTAGTTGTTTAAACATGCTGAAAGGGGTTTGCCTAACCCTGGATCTAAGCTGTCCTGGGCAAACTACAGCCTCACCGATCCATGGGAACCGAGCGACTCCGGGCGGCATGATGATAGGCTTTCTTGGGTATGCCACACACACACACACACGACTCCGAGACTTGATAAGCCTTACGGGCGCAAAGCGGAGGGATCTGTCGGAGTCAGAGGTAGTTTGTAGGGTCTCTGATCTGACGATTCCACGCCGAATTCTTCTTGGAGTGACTAAGTTGCTCTTGTAGGGAGGGAATCCCTCACAGCAAGAGGCAACCAGTTTCCAGAGCCATGCTGCACATGTCAAAGAGTCAAAGAGCATTTTGAAAGACGGCTGGAAACAAAGATTGCCTGTGTGCTTTGATTAATGTTACAGACTGTTTTTGGATGCCGGTAAGGCGAGTGTGAGAGTTCTCATGTCAATTGCAACCGGCCTTGTGTCTCTTTTCTATATTTTTGTTCCAGGAAACAACGTGAACAGAATCATTTAATTTGAAAGCTTCAGTTGGGTATTCCTCGTTTGGAGACCTCCAGTTGTTAAGCAGCAACCCGAATCTTACCTCCAGCGCGCCCTCGTGTCCCGCACCTTCCAGGGAGATCCCGTTGGCCCCCGGAGGGCTCAATGCCTAGCTCAAAAGACATCACCGGCACCCTTGAAAAAGGTCGGTCATTACCCAAGACAAAGGGGCTACGGACCCATGTTTAGTTCGGGTCCGTCAAAAAAGGCGAAAAGCATTCCAGAAGCAAATTTGGGTTATGGACCCTTGTTGATTCAGGTCAGATTCGGACTCCAGCTCTAAAACCCACCTGGACCCTCAAACTACCCCCAAAAAGAGGGACATCACCCCATAATTTTGGGTTGCAACAACTCATGTTTGCGGGAAATTTTGAGAGTCCCGGCACCCGTGCGCCATCGCGCGCCTCAGGTTGTTGTGTGTGCAACGCTTCCGCGCCTCGACGTTTTCGGGCGCGAGCGGTCTGGCGCAGCTGGCTGCGGCGCCAGCTTCGGCCGCTGGAGCATTCCGAGCGCCTTGGGCTGCAAGAGATCACGCACGGATACCTTTCTTGCTGGTGCGATAGGTAGCTGGTGCGATAGGTAGGCCCTAGGGTTCAACCCCCAGTAAAACAAAGGCCAGGACCCAATCTGGATGATGACAATCCTTAGGTAAACAATGGTGGTTTTATGAACCCCCATTGTTTCAATGGTGGCTTGAACCCCAGGGTAGGGAACGAGTTGGAATGAACCGTTTTGGGATTCCCGAGTAAGGGCAACTATATGAAACTATCGGGCATGGCATTCCCTCATTTCCTGCTCAGCATGGTATAAGGATATACCAGGTTCTAGTTGCAAACGTGCCTGAGTTCCAGTGTTATGACGGCTTCCTGTTAGCCAAGGGCCATGCCCGCCAAGTGTGCGGGATGAAAGGCTTGATGCATAGTTGTGGTTCTGCCCTCAGCCCCTTTGCAGAGTACTTGCACGGGTACAAAACAGTTGATCCGTTCAACTCTGTAACCGCAGCATGTGGCCGGGAGGTTTAAGCGGCTGTCTCAAGGTGCGGCGTTCAATCGTAAATTAACTTGTACATCCGGACTAGGGATTGCGGTGGGAGTCGTTCCAAGAGCTGGATCAACTTGCATTCAAGACAGTAGCGCCATTCTTGCTTCCAACTCTCAAGACATTTTACATTGGGAGTGCTCCTTCTTGGGTTGTATGGTTTGGGAGTATGATTCTCGCAGCTGTAGACTGCCAGTTCCCGTTATTGCTTGTTTCTTGCATTTCAGGTACACCAATTCTTCTCTTGACAGTCTTCCTACGAGGATTGCAAGGCATCCATAGATTTCTCGGGGGCATGTCATGGGCCCCAAAAGGGCCGTGTTAGGAAGTAGGTGGTCTACTGCCTGGTCTTACGGTGGCAACAAAGCACGGCCAAAATAAACCATGAACAAAAAACATGGGTTAGATCCAAGTCGATGGGCTTTGGGCAATGCTTGGAGAACGCCCTGTCGTTGCCCCCTGTAGAGGCGGCCCAAACGGGTTCTCAGAAGGACGATCCACTGCCCACGCTGGCAAGAGACCGCAGACCACCGTATCAGGGCAAAGCCAACAGAGTCAGCGCAGTGGTTGGAAGGCTCTCAGAAGGCCAATCCCCTTTGCAGCAGCTTTGGGTTTTCTTAGCGGTTTTGTTCTTTGCAGAAGCATGTCCAAGTTCTCCGCAGAAGGGATTTTGCCACTAAGAGCCCTTCTAAGAAGGCGCCCTACCGACCTTGCGGCGACTCCCTTGGTTTTGCGCTTTCCACAAGACCAAAGGGTTGAGAATGAACAAGTCTTCTGAAGACCAAACAAGGCTAATCAAGATAGGCCAAAAACTGATGCTTGGGTGCTGACAATGTGCGAGGATGCCAAGTCCTTCTACATGTACAGGGCCCAAAGCGATGAAAGCTACGCAGCTCGGTGGGAGCGCGGCAAGATGTGCGCACAATGGCTTTGGCTTCTGCAGCAAAATCGCAGTTGAAGGTTGCAAAGTCCATTTCGCACCACCTAAGAAACCCTGGAATGATATGATTCCCATGTTTGTTTTTTTTTAATGGAGGTGGGAACGTCGGGACCTTCAAGGCCCAAATGGCCCTCGATGTGACCTTTTGGTTCGCGAGGTGTATGTTTAGTCAAGGTTCCAAAAGTACCATGTCGCTTGTTGGTGTTTTCCGAGAACAGCTGGGAGCCATGGGGCCCAGATATGATCGAACGTGGTTTGGAGCAGCTGAAAGAGGGTTCTGGAGGGCGGGGCTGTTGATACCACTTCCACCCCCAACACACAATAGTGTTGTTTTTTTTGCTTTTCTCCCATGTCAAAACCGCCAAGTGTACTGTCCAAAAGGCAGTTGTTGGCCTAGGGGGGTGGGGATACCACTTCCAGCACCGTGTCCAAAATCCCAACACCTCTCCAAAAAGCAGTTGTTGGGTGGCTGGTGGGATTTCTGTTTTTGGGCTTTGTCAACGGAACTTCTCTTGGGTACCTCGAGGCCTTTGAGAACGTGAACGCCGCCAACTTGGCGGGGCTCATGTGGTACCTGGAGCACGAGGTGGTGTTCCCCCAGTGCCCCAGGCATTATAACATCACCCGCATACTCCGCGGCAGCCTTAAACCGGTCGTGGTCCGCTTTATCGGTTTGGGCACATGCCTGGGTCTTCCACTTGGTCTCGTTTTCGGGGCCAGAGCATGTTCTTTGCTCGTTCAGCGGGCGCCTCAAACCGGAGCTCCGGTTTCTCGGTTCGGGCGCAAATGTTTGCAGGGATCTTTGTAGTGTTTTTGTTTGTGTGGTTTTGAAGATCACCTTCCGGGCAAGTTCGCCCTGGTGAATACATCCTTGTACTTGCGGTTGGTACTTTGCTGCCCAGTGGTGCCCTTGTTTCCTTTTGCGGGAGGGTCCCCCTTTAGACTCAACCAACAACCAAAAAGGTGCCCCTTTTTCCCCACGGCCACGGCCTTTGGCTCAAAGTCGCCCAGGACCAGTCAGTAGGAAGCCAGTGCCCTCCTGGTGTGTAGGGGACCGGCAAGGCCTTGTTTGGCCCGAATGTTGACCCCGGATTAATAAACCCCTGATTGATTAAAAGGGGGTGTCCCCATTTAGTGGGGATTCATCACTTTTGGAGGAAACACCGCCCGAATGATGGGACGGGTTTTTTAATCCTGGGGGTGATTTGCACCCCAGGCTACAACGTGACGGTGAAGACTCCGCACCACTTCCAGCACAACTTCTCGCGCTTTTTCGCCGTCTCCTCGGATCTTCGCAGTCAAGGCATTTTCAGACGGACCTTGAAATAGCGTTTCTTGAGTTTCCTTTGTGCTACACTTTCAAGGTCGTCGTTTTGGTGTCAAACATGGGACTTTCGGAGTTTGAAGGGCTGATGAGAGGCCAATGTGTTCCATGCCCGTTCTGTGCAGAAATACCCGAAATCGGCTACCAAGTTTGCATTGAAGGTTAAGAAGCGGGTGTTTGTTTATTGCCAGCAACTGAAGTTTACTGCTTGACTTCGTGGACTTTCCGAGAGCCGTTGACTTAGAAGGCTCAAGCGCCTCATACCTCATATTTGTGGACTTGAGATTTTGTCATTCACACATATCCTTGAACCATACCCAAAAGTCCAAAAAGCCAGGGAGCCTTGAAACCAACCCGAAGAAACCCCCCAACCGCGTTGTTTGGCCTTTTGCAAACCTTTCAAGGCCCTTGAACAAAACCATTTTGGGAGGAGACTGTCAGAAGTTTTAGGGATGTCTCTTTGTCAAATAAATGATTAGAACGGTGTCAGAATCCTGGCCTCTTTCGTATTCCAGATTTGGCCCCATCTGATCTGGTTGATCTCCCTGCTTCACTTCAACGATGTTTGGGTCCCCGTTTTGGACATCCGCAAGTCGCTGCCAGACTTCGGGCCGTTTTGGCTTTCCTGCTTCTTTTCCACCTTAGGCGCCTTAGGCTCATTTCTCGCAGGGCTTTTTTTTGCCTGAACCCACAATCTCATAAACAAGTTCGAATTCACCCACCCCATCACTTTGGGTTGCAATACCCGGAGTCTCCGTGACCCCTAGAAAAAGGGTTCATAGCCCCTCTTTTTTGGTGAATGACCCCAGTTTGAAAGGGTCATGGAGTTTCCTGGTATACTTCCCATTTGAATTGCTGCGCCATTTGGGTATGGGTGAAAATGGAACCACCAGGGGACCGCCGGTTTTAGTCCTTCTTTTCCTTTAACAGGGTTCCATTTGTGGTACCCATGTTTGACCCACAGCCATTCTTTCAAATCACTGCCTCTTGGAATCTTGGCAACCTGAGGCCTTCGACAAAGGCATGTGTACCACTCCCACCTGCGCGGAGGAGTATGCCAAGAACGGCGGGGTCGCCTGAGCTCGGCTCCGGGGTCAACTTTTAGAGCTCAGACTTTGCACACTGTTTGGGCTTGAATCAGTTTATTTGGTGGCTCCCAGCCATCCGGTTCCTTAGCCGTGTAGCTTGGTAGAGCGTAGTGGTAGTTTCCATTTAACCCACTAAAAGTTAAACTTTTAGCGGGGATCTGAGAGCAGCCCAGTTTAGTGGCATGGCCATGGCCAGCATGTCCATGCTTTGTTTGACGATAAGCAAAGGGAAGGGCAGGTGCTTGGCTTGAATGCAGAGGTTTGAGCTTCACTTCTCATGCATTCCTGGGCAGACATATTCCTAAACCTCTACGGTGCCTGTGTTCATTTTTTGAACGCCTTTTCTTCCGTGACCACTAGGGGGTTCGCGCAATTCTCTGTTCGCAGGGATGGGCGATTGAGGTTCAATGTTTTCGCCTAGGTGTCCTTTTTAGGTGAGCCTGGTTAAAGATAGATGGCACTGGTTTAGATGGGTTTCGTTCCATTTACCAAACCCTTCTATTTTTCCCAAAGGCCACCTATGTGTTTGCGCATTTCACGTCAAGCCTCGGGTAAGACGACCTCACCATGCACGCTCTCTACCTCAGACTCCGCCTTCTTGGCATGAAGCATTGAGGTTGCTTCAGTTCCAGGGCTCCGAAAGAAAAAAATGTCCTTGGAATGGTTGAAACATCCCAATTCAAATGGGTCAGGGGTTAGGTGCTGCTAGGGACGTATCACATCCAATTTCCAGTGGGTTAGGCACTTGGCACAAGCTTGCCTTCAGCCATGTTCCTCTCGTCCACTTCCAGTGCCGCCCAGGTTTCACGGTGGGCTGCCAATATCAACAATCGCACCTCGGCAGATTATGTCCATCATCGGTCCTTTTGTGTCTCTGCCTAAGGGTCCCCTTTGTACCTGATAAAGAGGTACTTTAAACCCGCTGAAGCTGTTGACACCATATTCAAGCAGACCCTTCTGGCGCTATATTTCCAAAGTGTCTTCCGAAGTGATGTGAGGTCAACAACTTTGCAACCAAATCGCTCGATGACCCTCAGAAACAGTCCAATCCACGTGCCCAGTTCCTTGTTTCCTTGTTGTGTGGCTTGAACCTCACCCATTTGGCGCCATTTTTTTTTGGATGTTCAGCTCCTGTCGCGGCCTCAATGAAAGGAACATCTCATGCCCTGAAGGCAGGGCTCAGAACATCGCTTGGGGGACCTGCTGCTTGGAGCTGAGGGATGGCGCATTGTGGTTCCGCGTAGTTTTCAGAAACAGACACGGGGTCAAGAAACACGTTTCCACTGCCCCCAAATGCTCCAAGGTGCCAAAATGGGCATGTCTAGGGGAGCCCCCCCCCCCGTCCTTTTTGGATGACTTTTTAACACAACTCAAAAAAGGTTCTCCATTTTTTCTCTGGAGGTAGTGGTTATTTAGCATAGTGGAAACCCTGTTAAGCGCCCCGGCTCGGCGCCGCATCAGTTCGCACAAGGTCAGACTACCAGGGGGCCGATGCTCGGCTTGAAAGCCGATGAGACTCCTGGTGGGGCCGTATCGCCGGGTTTTGAGACCCCAACCCCGCGGTTTCAGGGTCCGTTTTTTCGTCCTCGATGGAAGTTTTGAAGGGAGCGCCTGGGGCTTTTTGGGTCGGATTCCTCGTAGGCGGGTGACACTATACTTACGGTGTTGCTTTTGCAGGGACCCTCCCAAAGGCTGTTACGGAGGGCCGAAACATGGGGTGTTTTAACCAAATAGGATTCGGTGCCCAGTTGGTGTCCTTTTGGTGTCCATTTGACAGCCAACTAGAGAGGTTATCTTTGGAGGGGTTTCTTTGACTCGTGACTCGTTTTTTTTGTAGAGCGCTCAACAGCCACGCGCTTTTGCCATGCGAGGTTTGGTACTCCCTTCCCGGCAAGTGCCCGGTCACCCCGCTGGTGGGCAACTTGGTCTGTCAGCCTGGTGAGGTAGGCTCCCGGAAACCCAAGTCGAGAGGTTCTGAATGGAATCTGCGCCAACCAAGACCTCAAATGGATCTTGTGGATGGTCTGGTTTAGGTTTCGTCTTGGGCAAAGGGCTCAAAGGCAGATGTCTGGGATCGATTTGGGGCACTTTGGGGCAGCTTGGCTCCTGGTTGTGAGAAGTAGGTCCTGAGAAAATGCTGGGAGCTCTCGGGGCAGCAAGTTACTCCCACAGGTTCCCTGCATTTGTTTTTTCTTTGTCGGAAGGAGAGAACACCTCCTGTGGATGAACGAAATCCACTTCGAAGGAAATGAAACCAGGGTTGAAACCGTAGCGTTTGCAGGTATTGACCGGGACATCGAATCATTCCAGGGTTTGGATTTTGTCCATCCACAGCATGACTGTAACCACAACCTCAAGGCCGACAAACGCCACCCCTATCCCAAGCTGGACTTCCAGGCCCTAAACCAACTTCAAGCCATGATACCTAAAATCCGGAAACCACACTTGAGCCCATTCTAACTGGGACGTTCAAAGGTAGTCCCCAAGATCCTTACACGAGGTTGCGCAAGGAGTTGGTCCCATTTAAGGATTCTGGATTCGGATTGGCCGATTGGCCAACCCTCCATTTTGAAAAGCCCAGCCTTAGCGTTTCAAGGCCCACCAGCTTCTTTCCTGTCTTTTGCAAGCAGCGAATGCTTGCTTCCTTTGGCGTTGTCGGCTATGCCGGTACTCGTAGCGGCCGGTGATGGGCGCCCGCCATATCGACGATATTCCGGGCGTTCAAATTTTAAATGTCAGGCTGGGTTTGGCGGTACTCGCACATTGCTTCGCAAACGAAATACCTCATATTGCCCTCCAGGACAAAAAGTATACAATCAACCCACACACACAGCCATGTTCATTTGCCCTCGAGGTTCCCCTCTTGGCTGTTCTTGGCATTTTGTTGGGTGTGGAGTCTCCGTGACCCTTCAAGCATGGGTCCATGACCCTAATGACCCCATGTTCGAGGGGTCATGGAGACTCCAGGGGATGCATATGTCCTTCCTGGACAAAAAGTATACAATCACCAAAGCCATTTTGATTCACCCTCAAGGTTCCCCTCTTGGCTGTTCTTGGCGCCATTTCGTTGGGATGAGATTCGGATAATGTTGACCCAGGATTAATAAACCCGTCCCATTATTAGGAGGGTGTTCCAACTCCAAAATTGGTCTGAATCCCCACTAAAAGGAATTGGACACCCCCCGATCAAAATCAACCAGGGTTTCTTAATCCGGGGTTAACATTAGCTGTGTACCTTCGATCGATTCGAGGCAAGAACGCGGCCTGCGGAGCCGCGATGCCGGGAGGGCGCTGCGACCGCGTGACGGGCGAGCGGAGCCTCGGCCAAGTGGGCCTCCATTGGGGTCAGGAGCCGCGACTAAGAGGCTTGGGACTTTCAAACGGCCCAATTTGAGGCTACTAAGATTCTTCGTAAAGAGGTAATCCACACTTTGGTCCACCTGGCCTCAAGCTTCCCTGGTGGTTGGCCCGGTTTGGCGCCCGGTCCATTTCGCCTGTGCCAGGCGCCAGGGCCAATCCATGACCCCAAGAAAGGTCAGATGGGATGCGACGTCCAGATCTCAAGGGATGCGTTCAAGAAGCTGCAACTTGGGAAGTTGGGTGTGTTGTTGTACAAGGACTGTGTGAAACAACGGCCTCTCGTCAGCCATGGGACACCCAAAGATGGCAGCGGTTTCCCTTTAAGCCACACCTAACAAGAATACCCTCTACCCTCAAAAAGCCATGTTTTTTTGAAGCCCCGAGTTTGTTTGAGGGGGCCTAAGATTGGTTGTGGCCTTCATTAAGTCCGCGCAACGTCGAACCCCCCCCCCCCTCCCCCACCCGGCGGGTGTGACCTTCGAGGAACTGCACCTGGTCCGCAGACTTCGCGGGCCAGTTGGACATCGCAGAGCTGGAAGGCGACGAGCTGAGCGTTTCTTTGTTGGGGCGGATGAACACCCATGTACCACCTATTTTGATGTTCACCAGGGGTACAGGGTTTTGACCCACAGCCATAGAAGAGTTGGTGCATCTTTCCAAGGGATGTTAGGACTTAAACTTGTTGCCAGCTATAATGGGTTTTCCATTAAACCACTAAAAGTTAAACTTTTAGCAGGGGAGCAGCAAGCAACCGAGGTTTGGCCTGGCGCGCGTTTTTTGGAGCGCGCCAGGTGGTGGTTTGTATGCTTCTTTAAAAGGGTGTTTTACATGCCTGCCAAACGAAAGCCCGTGCCATGTTTGGTGTGTCCCTATGTTGAGACCAAGCTGGTGCCCTGCAGGGTTGGTTGCAAAAGCTGCAACAGCCATTCTTTGGTTCTCGTTTGTTTGTGCAGCAGAAAGAGCTTGTTCAAATAGTAGGTTTTTTAGCCCTGGGTTAAGCACTAATGTCAAGCTTCGATGGCGCTCCAAGCATGGAGCCTGAAGAGGTCCTTGAAAGACAATGTTCCTCTAAAGGGAAGCTTTCTGTGAGCTTAAACAAATGTTGGCAGGAATGGGACCCCGAAACCCCGAAACCATGGGGAATTTCCCTCATGCTGTGTTGAGAACCAGCAAGGACTTCGGGATCATAGCAATGAAGGGGTCGCGCGGTAGCCCCTTTCAGTGGGAAGGCCACCGAAGTGATGAAGTGAGGGTTCTCCGCATGTCATCGGTCAACCGATAATCTCAATGACTGTCCCACAACAGTTGAGGCCATTTGCGCCTGGTCAGGCGTTTCCCTTCTGTGGCGAAACTCGAAACATGGCCGTAGAGGGGAAGGATTTAGAAAGCAATGCGTTGAGACGCAACCAAGATCAAGTCCGGCTGCTCTTTTGAGTATTTACATTTGTGGGCAGACGGAGAGGATACCAGGCTTGGTTTGTGACTTCTACGTCTTCTGCGGATCATTCCAGTACAACGTTCGATCGGCCGCTTGCCTAGCCATTCTCAAGTGCTTCTCGATGGCAATTCTGTGGGATTTAGATTTGGTTGGGTTTGGTTCGGGGTTGGGATTTGTGTGGTTTGAGGCTTGATGGGTTTAGGCGTCTCCAACTGGACACACTTCTGCCTGCACCACGGGAACGAGTACGTCCTGCCCTTCTGGTCCGGTCGAGGGCACAAGGAGCACATGCAGACCAGACTTCGGAAGGCGGGTAAGCTGCTTTTCTGAGGCTTACTGTGGATGGACGAAATCCGTTTCACACCATTGAAGACTCCCTGGGATTGATTCGATTCCCCGGCAAAAGCCAACAAACGTTTTGGTTTCAAGCATGGTTTCAAGGTGGTGTCGGATTTCGTCCATGTACGGTACAGCCTTTTCCTCAGAACGCCGCCCGTTTAACCGTTGGCCCACCGGTATTTCCAAACCCAGGCCAGTGAGACTCACGGAGAAAAGGGAAACTCAAGGCGCATCACTGTGTTTTCTCTTTTTTTTTGTGGGGGGGGGTTCCCCATTTTGTTTGACACATACCCACATTGGTAATGAGTTTCAAACTAGGGACACTTAGGCGGACATGGTGGGAATTTGGGGGTTCCTCGTCAGATTTCATACCCATGACCCCTTTATTGGGTACTGACATGTACTGACCCCATGGGTCATGGAGACTCCAGGTACCCCAAACCCCGAGAATTATTTGGCCCACTTTCTTCGGCTATTGCCCCCCCCCCCCCCGTTCCGGGTGTGAACAAACATGACTTGGGAAATCAAGTTTTGGTTGGGATTGTCCACCACCCATAGAACGGTTCCCTGCCTGAGCATCAAACGGGCCCTTTTTGGACCCAAGTTGAAGCCTTGGGTCCTTTCTGATGCTGAGAGACTTAGAGCCATGAAAAGAAAAGCAACATGCACCTTTCACAAACCCTGGAATGCTCGGATTCCGCTGTAGAATGCCCAGAAACGCTGCGAGAAGCGGATGACTGGATTTCAAGCATCGCAGGTGCAGAAGCTCTTCGAGAGCAAATATCCCAAGCTACCCTCGCAGCTGGAGGCGTTTTGCTTCGTTGCCCAGTGGGTTGCTTCCTTTTTTCACCTTTTTGGGGTAAGGATTCCGATTCCTTTCAACTCAACCAACCAAAAAACAGATGTTATTTTTTCCCGATGGCCACTGGGCATCTGAGTTGGGCGACGAGCGACGCGCACCCTCGGTTTTCCTCAGCCCCCAAGGGGATAGATTCCCTTCGGCACCAAAATGGCCATGGGGAGCTATAATAAAACCCGGGTGAGCGAAGGTTAGTAAGGGAAGGTCCCAGCCAGTATTCGTTTCGGCCGCCTGTGTCTTGTTTTTTTCTGTTTGGGTACACCATCGCGTTGACTCGAAGGGAACTTTCCCCATGTGGATGCAGTATAACATGTTTGTGGTTTTCCACAATGGTCCCCCCATGTAAAGGACCTGTTGAACAACCCCCCTTGTGAGTAGGGTTCATTGCAATGCAGCCAACGTCGGACCATGTATTTGAGCGGCTGCCTTCACTTGCAGAAGACTACGGTACTTCAAGGCCGGGTGGAAGCATTTTTTTGGGGTAGCATACTAAACCAAGGTGCAAAACCAGGAACACCTTCAAATAAGGTACGTGGGGCAAGACATGTGAAGACATATTGGTGGTTCAGATAACAAACACGCCGTTGGAAAACGAACTCAGTGAGTCCAAACGGATGCAGGGATGGAGAACGAGACGGGAAAACCGAAAACCCGACCATTCAAGCTTGTAGCGAATTGCTGCCGTAGCAATTATATCTATGGTTTGGTATGTTTTGGTGTGATGGTTTGCACCACCAAAGTGTTTTGGTGTTCTGGTTTGCACCACCTTTGGTGTTATGGTTTGCACCCCCAAAGTGTTCAAACAACCTCCCAAACTGGTTCCCCTTTCCAGGGGAGCTGGTTGCTCCGCGAGGAGCCACTTTGCGACTGGCGGCCCAGACTTTAGCCCTTCGATCCATCGCCAGTCGGGGCACCTAACCGGCGGAGCCGTTCTGAAGAAGCCCAGGGCTCGAAGCGAGGAAAAGTTGACTCCGACAAAACAAAACCCGACCTTGGCTTCCGGTTCCCAGGCAGGGTTGTGGAATCAAGGGGTTTTATTCCCGCTTCTGTGATACAAGTTGGAATCTCCCCCTGTGTATGGGGTGTTAGTCTTGGGGAAGCCCTTTTTGCTGTATCACAGAAGTGGTCATTTCCACAACCATGTTCCCAGCCATCCGATTAGGTGTTTAGTTAATAAAGTTTAGTTGTTTCCAGTTGGTCTAGCCGGGTTTCCATTTAACCCCCAAAAGTTGTCGACTTTTTTTTTTTTTTTTTTTTTTTTTTTTTTTTTTTTTTTTTTTTTTTTTTTCGGGGGGCTGTAAAAACGGGCAGCCCAGCTCTATTTGGTTTAAAAGCACGACCCTATTCTAAAAAGTGTAGGCTCTTTCATTGGACGCTGGAAGCTGGCAGTGCCGGATGTTTTGATTTGTTTGTTTGCTCGTTCGTTTGCCTCCGGGCGGTGTTTTCATGGCCCCCTGACGGGGGGCCCATTGGGGGGTCTTATCGATAAGCCTAGGATAAGCCCTGAATAAGGCAACTTATGAAGCTCGCTTGCCCAAAGCCGACCTTTTGACCTTTTGGTTTCCCATGTTTGGTCCATTAATTAGTAAAGGACCCAAAAGGTGATCACCTTTTATTTCTGGGTCCCTAAGGGGCAACTGAGGAAGGGGTGAATCAGGGATAGCCCCCCCTCCCCATAGCCTTCCTGAGGGTTCCATGAGGTTTGGTTGTTCGAGGCCTGACAACTTCTGAAGCTGCAAATATGGGGAAGCTCCTGGCGGTGACTGAAACTTGAAAGATTGTTTTGCTTATTCCGGGACTCGCACTTTGGTCACTTTGGGGGTTCGGACTGGTTTTAGTTGCAAACAAGAGTGCGGCTATTGCTTGTGGCCAATCCACTCAGGAAGTGAGAATTGCTACAAGGGGAATGGCATATCTACCAAAAGTCTCCTTTTGACCCTTACATGGGTCCGTGACCCCCCTTTATATTGGGTAATGACCCCAGGAATGGATTGGTTTGGAGAAGAAATGAAACCCTTCCGGGACCTTCCGTACCTGCAAGGTGGAGACCGAAGGTACCGATTTTTTTGAGTGGTTGGCCTCAGCTCCAAGCAACTGAAACGGTGAGACTTGTTTCGGGTGAGACTTCGCAGCTTGCTTTGCTTGAAACCATGTGGTTATAGCGGGGTTATTGGGGTTATGGGGTTATAGGGGCTATGAGGGGTTATAGGGGTTGTGGGGGTTGTGGGGGTCATGAGGGGTTATGCTGATCCACCAAGATTCCAGCGCAGAGACATGTTTTTTCCTCGTTTGTTTGGTTCCCGGCCTAAGCGTCGGGAAGGACCCTTCATTAGGTCCAGACCTTTGTGGAACCTCCAAAGAGGGCCATCGTTTGATGCTTGGGGCTCAAGGCAAACGGAAGGGTCGCTGAGTATTTGGTCCATGTGAACATGGTCTTAAGCAAGAGCAATGAGGAAGCCTGAATGCGCTCAAGGTGCCGTAGCAAGGGAGAGCGGCAAGTTGCAGCGACAATCATCCTGATGCCTGAGGCAATGTGAACCAGGGCACTGTGTAGGCTTAGGAGAAGGTCCTCGTACCTGGCACTGTGTATTTGGCTGGGTTTGGTGGTAGAAGGGTTGCCCAACAAGGAGGATGGGGTTACAGGGTTTGCCCCACCCTTGACAGAAGCCAGGACCCAGATCGCACAATTCTCGTTGTCAGCCGAGGACCAGCAAAAAGCTGTTTGGACTGAGCGTGGGCTGTACAAGCCGTACCCCGCACCTTTCTGATTCAGGGTTGCTGCGACCAACATCCATCCCTAGTGGCCAGTTGTTGCCCCGCCGCAAGGCGGACAGCAAGGGCTTGGCCTGCTGCCCTTGGCCACTTTCCCGATTTCCCTGGGAAATCGGGGGTTGCCCCCTGTGAATAGCGCGACTCAAAGGAGCGGAAAACTGTGATGCTGGGTGGGTTTTAATACAGAAGCAACGGGGGTTTGTGTACATGTGTGTGAAAGCGATCTCGGAATTGCTTCCCATGCGTACGTGGCGTCTCCATGACCCTAAAACAACCCACAGCCCCCGAGGTTTGCCGTCACCCCCTAATCCACGCTTGTCCTGCCCATGCCCAGGTGACTCGAGTTCCTGCAGCACGTGGTTCAAGTATGGCACCCTTTACTAGTCAAGTAGCAGAACTCGTGCAGCCATATTTGACACGTGGTGACCTCCGTTCTCTTCAGAACGTAGGGCCGTGGTACCGCGAGGGCGTGGGTGGCAGGCAGGTTCAGGGTTTTAGGTTTAGGGTTTAGGTTTCGGTTTGGGGCTTTATGGTTTTTAGGGTTTAGGTTTAGGGTTTTACGGTTGTTGGGATTTAGGTTTAGGGTCTTTAGGGTTTAGGTTTTAGGTTTTTAGGGTTTAGGTTTAGGGCTTTTAGGTGTAGAATTTTTGGGGCTTAGGTTTAGGGTTTTTAGGGTTCAGGTTTAGGGTTTTTAGGGTTTAGGTTTAGGGTTTTTAGGTCTAGGGTTTTTAGGGCTTAGGTTTAGGGCTTTCAGTGTTTAGGTTTAGGGTTTTTAGGGTTAGGTTTAGGGTTGTTAAAGTTTAGGTTTGGTTTTTAGGGTTTAGGTTTAGGGTTTTTAGGCTTAGGTTTAGGGCTTTCAGTGTTTAGGTTTAGGGTTTTTAGGGTTAGGTTTAGGGGTTTTATGGTTTAGCTGCGCTTGGCTTTACGAATCGTGACAAAGTAACAGCAGTGGCAGCGCAGACAAAATGCTTCAGGCGGGTCGGAGCTTCGTGATCTCCGGGTCTTGGTGTTGGGGCGTTGGTTCCGGGCGCCGGCAAACCTCAGGGGCTGGCCGTAAAACAATGGTAGGTCATTTCCCAAAAAGGGGTCATGGACCCATGTTTAAAGGGTTAGAAGGAGACTCCAGGTAGTCAACAGTTGGAAGCTGGCTTCCTCTTGAATTGGACAACTCGTGCAACAAGTCAGCGGGAATTTCACGGGCTAATGAGACCTACCATTTCAGGAGGCGGGATGTCCCATGGGTGGCTTTCCAAAGCCATGCGATCCTATGGGCGCTTCACACTTTGTTGCAACGGCAGACAAGAAGCTTGGTAGGTCACCACGCAAGCCTTTGAAACAATGCAATGGGTTTCGCTGGGAATTGGGTTCCACTGGGAGGGGTACCAACTTTTGAAAGATCCCTATGAATCAACCATGATTCGTTGTGGAGCTGCACGGGTTTTTTGTGTTGCTTCGTTTGCTGTTCTTTCCCCCCTTATCGCTTTTTAATTGCGTTTCAACTTGCGCCTGGATTGTGGATTTGGTTGTGTGTGTGTGTTTTTTAGGGGGGGACCGCCATCATGGTGGCTTTCCTTTGGTTTCCCTTTCAACCCAGACAACAGGTACCTGAAAGAAGACACACCCACTTAGTTGTGTGTTGTTTGTTGAATCTTGTTTTTGTTCCAGCTTGTTTGTCTGGCCTTTGGTGCAACCTTAGCCACCTTCTTTGGAAGCAGTTGGCTTTTCCAGCAAACCTTTAGGTTAGGTTCGGTTAGAAATCGATGGCACTGGTTCAGATTGGGTTTCTCGATTTAGCAGAGATATCAATGTTCCTACAGACCTTTTGCTCAGCGTGGAAGAGTTTTCCCATGGCCTTTCTTGCATTTTGTTCAGAACACAAAGGCGCCTCTTCAGGGTCCCCAACCTCCCGACCCCCCACCAAGCGTGAATCCCTTTGGCCCAGGGGGCGGTAGGGTAGCTGGAAGGTGTTTGAACAGCTGGTTACCTGGAGTCTCCACGACTCTTAAAAAAATGGCTGGTCATTCCCCAAAAGAACGAAACGGGTCATCGACCCATTTCTAAAGAGTCAGAAGGAGACTCCAGATCAACGGTTCCAACCGTCGTCCCAAAACCATACTGTCAGGTCACTTACCCCAAGAGCCACCCAGATATGGAGACTCCAGTCAGGTCATCCCCTCAGGGCCGATCAATAGCTCACAGCTCTGGCTCGAGACCAACGAAGTGGGCGCGAACCCATCCGCGCGGGATGTCGGGGACCCGATGGGACATATTTTCGCCTATGGGGGTATAACCTGGGTGAATCCACCCACCTGGACCCTCAAAAAAGTCTTTCAATGTATATGATTGCCCCAATAATTTGGGGTGAATTCCCGTTTTTGTGGGTAGTTTGTGGGTCCAGGCGCAGACTGACCTCTAAGCATCAGTGGACCCTCCATTGAGGTGCTTTTGCTTGAACCTCAAAGGAGCTCTGTTGAGGGCCCAAGATGCTTGGGCGGAAAACATGTAAAATATTCCACTTGCTAAAGCATATTGTTTCTTGTTTCCCGTATTTGTTAATTTTCCTTGTTGGTTTCAAAGGAGATCTGCCACTGCTGGAAATCTGTTTATGGTTCCCAGGGGCTTAAGCAAATTTGAGAATCTAAATCTGGGGGTGCGGCCAAGGAACCCCTCTTGAAAACCTGCCGATGATCAACCACCCCAAGCGTCCAAGTGGAAGTCAACAGGGACCTCAAAAGCGAGCAGGGCTGTGGCATGCTTTTGCTCTGATTGCATTTTTCCCGTTGCTACAATGGGTTAGGGTTAGGGGGTTCCCTTTCTTTTTGAAAGTGGGTTTTCCAAGTAGCCATTATAGTAGGCATCCAGGAAGGAGATGTGGAGTATGGTGGTAACCGGAAGCATTTGCTTGGGTTTGGTTCCCATCATGTTCCCGTGTCATCATGCTCAAGGCCAGGCCCGTTATTTGATTAGTGGCAAGCGGTCGCGGCCACGTTTTCCAGATGGTGTGTCCAGGTACACGACCTCATGTTTTTATCTCTCTAGGGCTTCTCGAAGCCAGATACTGGGCTCATCTTCAACCTACAACTTAGCCAGGGAATGAGGGAATGACCCTCATAAACTTGCCCTTGTGGTTTCCTTTAAGGGAATCCCCGGGTTCATTCCCACATCTACTACGCACCAGAAATTTAGGAGGTGACTTTGACACCGGCAAGATAGTGACCTAGGGCCACTGGACGCACCTGCTTGATTTGCCTAGTCAGTTGTTTTGGGCCGGAGCAAAGGGAGGCACTTGTGGGATACAGGTATGCACCAAATGCGCTCTCCCAAAAAAATGTAGTGTCCTTTTGGTTTCGCGTTCAGCCGCCCCAAACGTGGTACCCTGAAAAGTCACACACACACACACCCATCAAAAGGACTACCAGGAGATATGACAGAAGCACCTGACCGACAAGGTGTGGATGGCCAAGATTCCCAATAGCCAGTTGATGAGTTCCACGTCCCAGTTATCATGTGGGAATCATCCCAACTGCAGGATTTGGCCCTTCCACAATGTTCTTCTTGCTTGCCCTCACCCTTTGGGGCGACTTTATACCTACCAACACGGGGTTGCAAATATGTGGCACCTGGTTCTGGCCTATTTCACCTTTGTCCTCTTGCAAATCCGGTAGAAGTACGTTGAATATTGGAGAGCGGCTCTTATTTTGGTTCTGATAGTACTGTATGTTTCTTGAGATGTGCCAGGTTGTCGAACCATGAAGACCATTTCGGGGCGCCCGCGTTGCGTTTTTTAGGGGAACATGCCGGCAGTCTGACCTTCCAGACCACCAACCATGAAGGTAATTGAGTCTACTGCTATTGGGTTGGACCTTTAGACTTTGACTTTTTTGGACACCCTTCCTCAAACTAACATGGAAGTGCAAAAAGGCCTTTCCAAGAGGAAAGTAGTCTTTCTACAGGGGTCTGTGCACTTCCATGTTAGGTGGGAGGGTACCCGTCATATTTCCAATTAAGCTGCAAAGAGTAAACCTTTTTGCGGGATCTACAGCACCTAGTTCCGTACGGTGGGTTTTCCTTCAGGGCGCTGCCCTACAACACCTTCCCAGAGGCCGGAAGCCCAGCCGGCAGCGGTGCGACTGGAAACTGGGCCCCTTCCATGCTCAAGATTTCCCGAGATGTCTCTGCATGGGTGTGTCGGTTTTTTGGTGCCCATTCCGTCGGTGGCGTTAAAGGGAAACCAATCCGAGAGGGAAACCAACAGGAAACCAGACATTTTGGGCGGTACAGCGGTACATGAGGAACCAGCACTCAAATTGTCCCATGTCCTCGTGGGAAACATGTATATATATATATATATATATGTATTTTGATCCTGGCTTAAATGGATGTGTCTATTGAGGATCCCTACAAATGATCCCAACCAGGGTGCCCTCTTCACTAACCCTCATGTGTTTTGTGGTTAAAACGCGCATGAAGCCCATAGAGGCTCAGAATTTCAACCTCCAAAGGGTTGCCTAAAGACCATGGTCCACACTTGAGCTCCATCCATGGCTGATTGCCGGAGCTTACTCGTACCGCAGCTCCTCTATGCTCTAGCTACGTCCGCATGGGGCTACCTCTGAAGCCACGTTTATGCAGTACAGCGCCAGGAAGATCGCCAGCCCCGTCTCCTCCCAAAACGAGAAGTGGCACAGAGCCGTGAGCTCGCAAACAAAGAACGCCTTATATAGTTGTTTGGGTGCTAATCTCAAGATTAGATCCCCAAAGCCTTGGTTTCCCCCTCAAACCCTGGCACAACAAGGGGGTTCCCCCCACCAGAAAACTGAGGCATCGCCTCCATCGCCTCCCTCGCTCGCCACTTGCGCCATGGCGACGGAGCGCGGGCTGAACTTGCCGGCCACTCAGGGCACCAGCGGTGCAGGGAACTTCATCCCAGGCGAGTCGTGTCGCTGCTTTCGCGTCGCTCGAGTCGGGCTGGTCGTGTCAGGCGCGAATCGGCCGCGGGTCTGACTGCTGTGGATTTTGCGCAGCGACCTTTGGGAGTAATTAGTGGGTCTGTTGGTTTTTGGAGTCGGCGCTGCCCCCGTTTGTGGTTTTTGCTAAGGGAAATCGACAATTGATGTTTGATTAAACCTGCCCCAGGTCAATCATGATCTTAGGCTCGTTCTGGAGGGAGCAACCTAGGAACTGAGGAACTGGATGTAGCTGTCGGTGCAATGAGATACAATGAGATATTTGATGATGATGGTTTCTGTGGCAAATCACACCCAGTTCCCGGGCACCCGACATGCTAGGTAATCAACCTTTCACCCTGTTCCTTTGAAGGGTGGGAGAGCAAGTTTTCCGCGATTTGGGAGGGCTTCGGAAGTTGCTCCAATTTGTTCAAAGGTCCACCTGAATTTTGAGTCATGACCCCCCCATTTTTTAGGTGGCAGAAGGATACTCCAGGCATGTTTGGCAAGAATCGTATCTCACACTCGAAATGACCGCGGATCCGCGGGGTATTTCTCCAGGGTATTCCAACAACCGCGACTCTCCGGGTCTCAATGTAGCCGATCCGGAGTTGCAGGGTTGGTATGTTCGATCCAAGCGTCACCCAACTCAGCGCTTTGTGTCTGCGGTCAAAGTACCTGGACCCTCAACACGTCCAACCCAATCATAAGCTCTTGCAACCCAAAATAATATGGGGTGTGGCTCAAAGTGAAAAAAGGAGGGGTTACGCAGGTTTTGGTCCATGTTTCCACTTACCAGGGTTCCATTTTGGTACCGGTTTTTTGAGCCACAGCCATATATATTGTTTTTGTATGGGTAGTTTGAGGGTCCAAGTTACTTTTTTTTCTTTGGTACCTTTGGAAGGCAAGGGCCGGCTGGTCCATTTCAGGTCTGGAGAAAGAAGCTGCCAGTGACTCCGAGTCCTAGGCAACCACCGAGAAAAAAAAACGGCGGTGGTTTCATTCCCATGGTTGTCATTGCGGGAATGGATTTCGTCCACAGGGTCCCCCAAATACATGTGGCCAGCTCAGCAATCACCTCTTCCAGATCTAGAAAACCTGCCCGAGACTAGACAGCCTCTAAGACGTCCAACTCGATTTCCTACAGGAATTTGTGCCATCAAACCATGGTGTTCCGGTGGAGTTGAAGCTTTTGGGTGCTTTGGATAGGTGTCTACAAGTTCGACTACACCGTGGAGGATGTGCGCAACACCACCGCCCATGGCGTCACTGCCTTGCGGTTGCCGGTGAATGTGTCCACCGCCCATGACGAGGAAGCCTTGAAGCGCCCGGGCCGCAGAAGGCCGTCCCGTTTCGGCAGTCACAGGCCTTCTTCCTCTCGAATCATTTACTCCGCCACTGGTCCACCATGTGGGTGTGTCTTTTTTGTGAGGGTATTTTTGTTTGGTTGGTTTTAAAGGGAAATCGGGAACACTGCCATTTTGGGGGTGCAGCTCCTAAAAAAGACACACGGCTGGTGTTTTGACTGGAGGAAAGGGGCTTCAGAGCCCCCCCAAAATGGTTCAGAGGTTGGTACTTGGATGCGGACCCAGGTTGCTTGGCCATGGTGAGCCACCTACTCCCAGTAAACTTGGCTACAATCTAGCATGGGCTCTTTCTGAGGGTAGGCAAGGGGAGTTACTGCAATACTCAGAGTGACTCAGGGAAAGTAAAGGAAGGTAGAGGAGAAGAAAGGCAGCATAGGCAGCGAAAAGGATGGCAAAAGGAAGCTAAAGGAAGATAAAGAAAGCTACAGGAATTACAGGACCCCTCAGAATGAGTCTACAAATCTACTTACGCGAGTTGAATACTCAAGTAAGCCTCATTCGAGCAAGAGAAGACCAAGAACGTTTTTGTTCTTTTTTTTTGTTCTTTTACTTTTTTACGAGGGTTCAAAGGTTGAGGCTGACGTTGCGAGAGGCTTTCGCGGGTCCCCGCAATGTTCACCCAGCCGGTTTCCCTCAAGTAATGCAAATCCCCGTGTTTCTCCGTGATACCAATAACAAAAATTCAAGGTCACAACGTATGGAAACGACATCATGTCATATTGGCACAGAGAGGGGCCCGATTTTTGATACGCACCATGATCCACGCCGCTGGTCCGCTTTCCTCCAGTTGGATTGGTTTAGATTGGTTTGGATGTGGATTTGAAACTCTTTTTTCTTGTAGAGGGTAAATGGGAAGCCTCCAACCAATCAGAGGGAAGCTGAACTTGCCATGTGTTTGTTTCTTGCTTTTTTGTCCTGAGGTGTTGTGGTTTAAAGGGGAAGCCTCCCAACCTCGCCACCGATTCGGCGTCAACCCACGAGGGAAGCTGAACCGAGGAAGCTTGGTTCCTACGCTGAGGCGGTGGGCAGAGGAGCCGTGTTCCACCAGCGGGTTCCGCCCTCGGTGAATCGCCCAACCCACGAGTTGTAGCTCGGGTGTCCTCGAACACTATTTTATAGTTTTTTTTTTTTTCTCCGGGGTTGGGTAGAAATGAAGCAGAGTGAGAACATATATCTTATCATTTTCTGTGCACACCAGATTTGAGGTACCACGCAGAGTCCCTGAAAATATGACTTTTTGTGCACCTGAACCCTCAAACTACCCACACAAAAGGCGGACTTCACCCACTCCCAAATGTTTGGGTGCAGCAATTTGCCCCATTTTTAAGTGAAGGAACCTCGGAGGGTCCAGGTAAAGGGGACATGTCTGAAGGGAACGATGTGGAGGGTCCAGGCAGCCCAGTCCCTGGGTATGTTCCTTTTACCTAAGGATTGTCATCATCCATGGTCCCGGCCTTTGTTTTCATGGGGGCAAGGAACCCTAGATTAGGGGGTCCAGGTAGCTTCCCCCTGGAGGAGTCTTCTGCCCCATCTCATTACCCAAAGTAAAGGGGTCATGACCTTATGAAGGGGTCAGATACCCAGTGAATCCCCTTTTTTAATGGAATTTTGGAGGTTCCAGGGCTCCTTAAAAGATACATTTTGCCCACTTGAAACATGGCTTTTTCCACCAAAACAAATTGGACACCATCATTGACAAGGCAATGTTCAGGCGTATAATGTGAGGATCCCTGCTCCAGGAATTTCAGCGGTTCCCGCACCAGGAGTCTTTTGCCTCTTCGAGGAGTCCCCGGACCCCTCGACGCAGCCCCACGGCCTCGGGCGCCTGAAAGACGCCGCGGCCGCGGCCGAAGTGGCGGCCGCCTGGGCCGCGGTGCACCGAAGCCTCGGCGCAAGCGGCGGCTGGGCGAAGCGGGCGCAGCGGAGGTCTCACCGGAGATCCCTTGGTCTTTGCTTAAGAAACCCCGAAACTAAGGGAAATCACCCGTTCCAGGATTTTGGGGCAACAACCCATGTTTGAGTTGGAATTTTGAGGGTCCAGGTCTTTATTTGTTGTGTTCCCTTGTTGGTTGTAAATGTATCATTACTGGACATATTCCATATTTTTCGGGGGGGGGGTAGTCAAATGGAAGTAGCCGCATTGTTGAGAGTCATTCCCAGAATAACGGGGTTATGGACCCATTTGTTGAGGGTCAGAAGGAGACCCAGATACTAATGAAGCGGCAAACGGGGGTGGTGCCCCATTTGCCCAGTGGATTCTGCCAAGATCCTTATACCTTGGGCCTTTGCAAGCTTTCGGTCCCTTTGTGGTTTCCAACAGGGATTACGGAAAATCGCATTGGCCAACGCTTCATTTTGAGCAGCCAGGTTTGGATGTTGAACCCACGTCCTCACGTGGGATGTAAAACACCCCCAAGCAAGGCCTTTGGGCGTCCCTTCAAAGAAACTGATCACGTCGTAGATGTAGAATTCCTTCGAAGCAGTTGGCCCATCTCTCTTAAGGAACTCTTATTTGGCAACAGCTGAGGTCCGATCATCCCAGCATAGGTGTCCTTTTTGCTTGGTTTGCTTACAAAATAGAGGGCGATTCCTGGTGTAGATGGGGTTTATGCATCCCATTTACCAGGGAAACCCATCGATTTGTCCGAAAGGCCAGCTACGCCAACCGCCCAGATGGGTTCAACGGCAATCCTTCCTTCCTTTGGCCTTCCCAAGGCTTCACCTTGAGCCGTGGTAGCGAGACGAGCCCAGTTGGTTGACACGTAACCATGAGTTCTCTGCTTCAGATTTTGACAGTTGGCTAAATATGAGACATCATCTAGTTTGAACTAATTCATTTTAATTGATAGGCTAGAATCATGATAAACTATGTTTAATCATGATGTTTCAAGTTCTAATAAAACAGGATATCTTCATCTAATTTGAATTCAACATTTCTTTGTGCACCCCGAGCTTTGAGCTTGGGCCGGTATCCTGCTTGGGTGTTAGGCTCAGGCAGCAAGTGGTGAGATTCACATGTCCCACTGATAAGTTCGCTGAGGTCAACCCAGGCGGGTTATAACCTGCCAGGGTGGATTCGAGCCGCAAGACATAAAACAGGACCAGCAACTCGCTCCCGATTTCCTGGACTTCATATTGTATGGCAAGACCATTCCAGTGGCAAACAAAGGTCCAGTCTTTTTTTGGGCCAGTCCACTCAGGAAGGGACAAAAAGCACAACAGGGCTGCACACTTTTTCAGACTACCTTGGAAGCTCCCCCTATTCTTATTTACAGGCTTCGTGGCATGCAATGCCAGTCCAGGGGGGGGTATACTTCGAGCCTGGAGCTTCCATGGAATCGTCTGAGGAGGGTTCAGCACCTCGCGCTGAGGTGGGTTCCTCTACGAGATCTTCAATGAGCCCTTCGGCTACGCCACCCCTTCGGAGCCCTTCGGAGCGCACAAAGATTCCCCGCAAGTACCCATCCGTTTCCAAGTTGCATATGGCTGTGGCGAATTCAAAAAACCGGTACCAAAATGGAACCCTGGTAAGTGGAAACATGGACCAAAACCTGCGTAACCCCTCCTCTTTGATTTGGAGCCACACCCATATTGCTGGGCTCATGGATTTTGACTCTTGGGGGGTCAAAGTCTGGAGTCGGAAGCTCGGAAGCCTCCCTACAACTAGGCTGGCACAACTTGACGCTGTTTGGGTTCTGGTTAACTTTGGCAACCACTTTCCTCAGGGCATGTGTTTGTTTTTGTTGCTTTGATCTGCAAAAAAGTCCTTTGGGTGTCCCCACAACTGTGTTGAGGGTAACCCTTTTTAGGTTTGAAGGGATACAGGGAAAACCGCCGTGTTTGTTGGGATCCCCTAGTGCGACACATACCCGCGTGGCAAGCCGGGTCCCGCATTGTGTCCGTTCAGGTATTTGCGCTCCATGCTGCTGGTGATCCATCGATCTGGTTTGCCACCTGAGCGTTGCATACTCGACGGTTTCGGGTATGCCAGCGATGTGCACGCCCCTTCGCTGGAAGAGCCGTAGCGCGAGCCGAGGGTAGACTTCTGGCTTGGAAGCCCAAGCCCATTGATCAGCTGCAGGTGGAGCATCTAGTGGATCCCATGTACCACCAACAAAGATAGATCATGTATTTTTCCTTGGAGCTGTTGGGACCTATAGTACTGTGCAGGTATGTGGAATCACTGGAAAAGCTTGGGATGTTCCAATTGCGAGATTGATTGACCGCTCTTTTTAGTTGTTAGCACTCTATTTAGAACTCTTTAGGGTTTATCCGCAGCTCCATGCAAAGCAAGCCCAGCAAATTCCAGTTTCCGCCACCTTTCAGTCTCTAAGGGCAGTTTACCTCAGTCACTCTCGTTGCACGTTTTTAACTGGTTTCCCACCCCCAGGTTTCGCATGATGCTTTGTTCTACCTGCTACAGCAGCAACTGGAAGAACTGGGTCCGCTACCTACACCTGCAACCCGGGCCCTCAAAGTGCCCATAGAAAATGGAAATTACCGCAACAGCCCATTTTTGAGAGGTACCGCCTTACCACTGTAGCGGTGTAGCCAGGGTTTCCCAGCAGGTTTCACAGTCTGGTTTTTATTACAATGGTGGGTGGAAGCACTGGTGCTGGTTGCCGACCATACAAGGGGCTGGAATGCATAAGCCCGAAAGTCAGACGTCTGGCATGTCGATTTCCGAGGCTCTCTGCCGACTTGGCTGGACGGGCTTCTTGGGATACCACTTCTATCCCAATTGGCTGCCGGCCCTTTGGCTGATGTGTTTGTTTGAGGCTGGTAGAGCACCTGGTGACGAAGCCGGAACATGGATTCGAGTGTTGACCCTTTGTCAAGCCCAAGGTAAACTCGCTTCCCCAGGTTCTGGACTGGATACTGTTTGGAAAAACGTTTTAGTGGTAGAGACAAAGTTGACACAATTTTCTGCCAATCCACTCGAGAAGTGAGTGAACCCTTGAGGGTTCCTACGCATTTGGCTGCCCCATCTAAGCTGAAGATCAAACAAACGCAGGGTTGTGGGATCAAGGGGTGTATCCCCACTTCTGTGATACATGGGAATCTCCTCCTTTATATGGGGGGGGTATTCTTTTGGGAAGCCCGTTATGTTGTGTCACAGAAGTGGTCATTTCCACAGCCCTGAACAAACCCAAACGGGGAAAACATGATTTCAAGCTTTGTGGGCATGTTCTTAGTCCTGTGCTTGGGCTTTGGGCGATTTTTGGCATCCAAGGAGCTGAGATAGATGTACAGTATGGTGAAAGTGGATGGCACTGCTCCCGCATGGTGCGTTTACTTGGTGGCTCCCAGCTGTGCGGTTCCTTAGCTTTTTGGCTTTTTAGTTGGTTTAGCGGGGATTTCCGTTTCGCGGGGGATCTGAGGACAGCCCAGTTTACTCCTCTTTTTTACTTTCCGACAAAGGAATTGTGCCATCTGCTTTCACCCAACTGTAAGAACCGTTTGTGAGAAATGCTAGCACCCCCTTCTGCCTTTGGGGCTGGGTAGCTTTTAGGCTTCCTGAATCGACCCCGAAGGCAGTTGCGGTTTGAAACTGCAGCGAGTCAACAAGCATGCTGTTTTGAAGTGCCACATGGCCATGGGTCAAAACCCCGTACCCCCAGTGAACATCCCCATCCCCACAACAATAGACTAAAATGGGTGGTGCACCTATCCCAAATGGTACCATTGGTTTTGAACCATGGCCACATGCCACAGGGTGCTGGTTTTGATGAGTTTGAAGTGCCACATGCCACAAGAATCACCTCCAACGGGGCCGTGTGACGGCCTTCGATGCCAGTTTCTGGGGCTGGCCCTTATATGCTGCAGGAAGGCCAGCGATCCGTGGAAGACTACTCCAGGAAGGTGCAGACAGACCTGGCAGATATCGCCCACCGAGCCTTGCAATTGGCCTGTGGCCCTAGTTGGCTTCCATTTGCTTAAGAATATGTTTGATTTTCCCTTGGCTTTAAAGGGAATCTAATACTATTGGATATAGTTGTTTTCTTTTTGCTGGGGGCTCTTTCGCAAATGGAGGTTGGCCTTTGGTTGGTTTTGGCCTTAGATTTGGCAACTCTACATGGCGTTTAGCCTTATTTGGCCTTTAGTTGGCCTTTCTCAGTCCCTTTCCCTGGGACTTTCCCATACAACCCACCAAATGAGGATTCATTATGCGGGATAATACCCTCCCAAATACGGAAGCTGACAGAAGGTGCTGTTTGGAGGAAAATTGTCTTCCCCGGAACCTGTCAGGGAGAGTAAGATACTGTTACCAGCCCGCATTCAGGTTGACCCAATTTGGACGACAAGTCTCCTCAGGTGAAGTGTGGGTATTTTAAGCCCATTGGTTTCATAGCAGGGAGTCCCAGAGTGGGGATTTTTCTCTTTTCGCTTGGATTTACCCCAATGGCATCTTGGGTACAACCATAGGTGTGCCTTTTTAGGTTAGTTTGAATAGAAATAGATGGGTTCCACTGGTGTAGATTGGTTTTATTGCATTTGGCAGGGCCATATTTTACCAAAAGGACATCCATGGTTATGACCTGCTTACTCAGTAGGCTGAGCATCCAAGTACCAGGTACCACATAAGCTTATTTCAGGTCTCACGGGCGGGCAGCAGTTTACCTCACCTCATTGCTAGCTTCGGATTCACCAGGAGCACCCTAGACAGAGGAAGCCCCAAGAATAGTACCGGGACAAGATGTGTTTGCTGAACACTATGGGGCAAGAAGGCCACCCCAGATGGTCCCCTAAGGGTGCAAGCGCCTTGTGGGGATGTACTTTGACCCCTTTTGGACCTTAAGTACATGCCAGGGACCCTCTCCCCAAATCGTTGGAAGACCCTTCAAGCAGCCTCCAGCTCAGGAGTTTACATCACCGAGTTCGGGGCCAGCCTGACGAGCGACCAGGGCGCGGATGCCAACTGCCTGCGGGGCTTGGCGGAGGGCCTCCGAGCCTCGCCAAGACGTCCGACACCTCGCCCTGACCCCAACCAAGGGGACCCCCAAAGATCACTTGCTGAGTTCGGTGACTCGGACTTTAGTCACTCTTTGGGCTTGGGCCATTTTGGGTGAAGGGCAAGTTTTGGACTTGTTCTGATCAATCCACTCAAGTGAGAAAGGCTTAGATCCTCCATCAACGTAATGGAAACGGTTCTAAAAAATGGGGCCACATGCTGGTTCTGAAAATCAAAAGGCTCTTTTTTGCTGAATCCGCTTTCTGAGGATTCGACTTCCCTTTTGAAGTCATGGAACGAACCTGGAGGGAACGCGTTCTCGTCCGCCTGAGGAGCCCTGCCGTCGCCTGTCCTTGGGGTGTACCACTGGCACGGCTGGCACAATGGCGATGCTCGGCTTTTTTTTCCTTTTTTTTTGTTTTTCTCGCGCAGTGATATGGGAGTGTCTTTGTTAGGAGCTGGACCCCCAAAATGGTGGTTTTTCCACCCAAAAGGGGGTACCCTCCAAAAACAAAACATATTGGGTTTTTGGTACCCTCCCACCAATTAGCCTGACAGCGGGTCCCCTATGTACATTAACAGGAGCCCCCACTCCCGCAGACTACCAGAAGGAAGCTCCACCAATTGGCTGTAGATAGAGCCACTTCTTCCATGTCGGGGTCCGTTCGGGAGCTTTCATTTTTGTCTGGGGACGGTATGTGTCAGTTTGCCCCCCCAAAAAAAACAAGTTGGCCGTACTCCTTGTGGTTTGTTGTTGTTGGGGGCCATTCGCGGGCGTTGCTGAATGGACCGTTTTGCTCCAGGCAAGGGATCTCCAATTGAGCTCCTGTTGGCCGTGCTGGTAGGCAGTTTTTCCTGCAGTCTCCATGACCCGTAAAGAAATGGTGGTCATGTCCCAAAATACAGGGGTTGTGGATCCCTGTTCAAAGGGTCATGGAGACACTCCAGGTATAGTAAAGCCTACCTGATCCCGTCAAACTACCCATAAAAAATGGAATCCACTTCTGTTGAACAAACTCATGTTCAAAGGAAATGTGTGGTTCCAGTCAAAGAAACCCTCAAACTCATAAAACAGGGGGACTCACCCCCATTTTTTGTTGTACAATAATCCACATTTACAATCATTTTGAGGTTCCAGGCAAAAACACAACTTGATAACCCATCTTGAACTAAAACTAGGTGCGCCAGTAGTGCCCTTGGGAGGGTTCCCCTACGAAAATAGAGTATGGAAAAAAAGGGTACCCTTATTCTTACCTCTCTACTGGAGGACCCAGAAAAGGTCAGCCCGGGTGGCTCCGCAAATGGGCGCTGCTCGGCTGGTTTTTCGCTGGGCCGAGGACAGCTACGACTTCTGGGATCCTCAGAACAAAGCGGGCGCCGCCTTGGTGAAGCAAGTCTGGGACGGCAGCTCCGGCGCCAGGCGTGGAGCATCGGTCCAGAGCCACAATCTCTGAGGGTTTTTGGATTACACCCTGGGATTACACCCTGAAATGACCCAGAATGCTTCAACAAAACACGCGGCTATATCCGGAAATGTGCCTAAATGGGGTCAATACCCAGTGGGTGTATTCCCAGGGTGTGCTACAAAAACCCTTAGACAATCAAAACCTGGGGATTGATGAAGGTTAGTAAGGGGCGGTCTTAATTCTTGAAGCATGGTTCTGGGCTTGGACCATGTTAATACCGGGTTGTGATTGTGACTCAGTGGGCATTTCCTTAGCAGCGACTTTGGTTCAGGGGCCCGTTTTGGCTGGCTGAATTCAAGAGGGTTGAGTGACCGCTCCCCATGCGTTAGCAGAGACTTCTCGGCGCTTGAGAAAGAAAGACTTTGGTTCTGGAAACCAAGAGGAAAACCAACGCCATTTGCCGGGGGGGGGTAGGGAGACCAACCTTAAAAAGATGCCTGGACCCTTAATCCAAAACGGCATTCACCCCATCTTTGTTGGGTTACCCAAACCAAAGGGGTGGACCCATGTTTGATTCGGGAGAATCGGAGACTCCAGGTATAGCAAACCCTCCTGAACCCTCAAACTAGCCATAAAGAACGGATTTCACCCAGTTTGTTTAACAATAGCCCATGTTTGAAACAAGTTTGGTCCCTCAAAGAAAGACAGAGCCACTTGGAGACCTCTTCACCCCGCTGCTTGGCCATTTCTCGGAGCCAAGATGTCGACTTGTGGGTTCTGAAAGTTCCAGGGCCGAAGTGTCCAGGGGGGTTTTGCCACATTTTGGGGGAGGCGTTTCGCTCGTTTGCCTTGCCATCCGGTTCCTTTGGTTCTTGCGCTTTTAATTGTTTTTTTACCGTTTACACTGGTTGGGTGTCCATTTACCCAAGTCAAACCATGTCAAACCGTTCGCAGGGGATCTGAAAACTGACAGCCCAATTGCGCGGGCTTACCATTTTCCCGGAAACATGGACTCCTCCGAAATGGTCGGCGGATAATCTCGCATGCAAACAAGCCAATGAGCCCCTGAAATGTTATTTGCACAATGGTGAGTAAACAGAGCTCACCCATGAACGTGACATGGGAATTCCCTTGCCGGTTCATGAGTTATTGTAATTTGCCCACCTGGGCCCGAAAGAACTACCCATATGAAAAAGGGAAAGATCATCAACCACAATGTTGGGTTGCAAGAACCTATGTTTCAGTTTGAGTTTCGAGGGTTTACTGTAGGTAGATTCATACGCAGGCAGTGCGTTCTTTTTTTCGCAAGCTTGGCATGGCATCGAAGGTCAAAGCCGCGAACACTGCCGGTGTCAGTCTTCCGAAAGCAGGAGATGTCCTATCTGGTCTCGTTGCCTGCGGCTTGGGCTGTTGCAAAAGCTCGGGGAGTACCTGGACCCAGGGCTCCGTTGTTTTGACTACGTCTCGGGGTAGACTTACACCCAGGGGTTTTCCTTTTGAGGAATCAAGCACCCCTGGGTTTAAGTCTGCCTTGGGGTAGTCCAAGCACAGAACCCTGCCTGAACCCTCAAACTACCTAAACAAAGGGAATGCACCCCAGACTTGTCGCATGATTTTTCATGTTTAAAGGAATCTTGAGAATTCAGGTACTCGTGCATGCTAAAAACAGGGGGTGGCTGCCCTTTTGAGCGACCACACCCAATTGTCCAGGGGCTTGCACTCCCCACAAAGGTCACCCCAAGAGTTTGTCTCGGGCAACTGGGTTGCGGTTGACCGGAGGTTTTCCGGAGATGCTTACATGGACCCTCCAATTTAATAAAATTATGATATGGGCGAGTTCCCCTTTTTTTTAAATGGATAGTTCTTTCGGGTGCAGGTAGACATCTAACAAAAACATCTCATGTCGCGTTTGACCGCCTTGCACAGTTGGTTTCTCTTAAAATAGCACCCGTATACTCGATGGTTTTCCTGTGGGTGTCTCTGCAAGCCAAAGCAAAACAGGGTACCTGGAGTCTCCTTCTCCTTGCCCAAGACTTGGTATCCGAGGATCCCCAGTTCCCGCAGATGGAAACCTGGGGCTGGGCCTTCGAGCAGATCCTCGGCCATGCCTTTGAAAGCGAAAGCGGACAGAGCGATGCATGCGATACACGCGCCGTGCCTATCCAGTGCTACCGCACCTCGCCTGTACCTTTTGTTTTGTGGTTTTTATAGGAAACCAAGAGGAGACCACACATGTTGAGGGGGGTGTGCCCCTATTTTAAGACACGCTAAACCGATTGGTTGCGTTTCGGTTTCTGCTGGTTGGTTTGGTGTGTTGTGTGCCAGTGCTTCCAGTTCCCACTTCAATTCGCAGGTAACAAGTGATTGTTCCTTTGGGCTTTGCATGATTATTTCTCCTAGTTGCCTACTAGGATGGCATTGTAACTGGAAGCCGGGGTGCGTGCTTTGTGGGTTGTTTGCTTTGCATTTCTCTGTTGCCCTTGGCGTTGACAATGGACAAGTCACGCCAAGTTTTTCAGGGGATCCAAGTAGGCTGTACTCCCGGCTACGTATTTAGAATCCTTGGTTGTTGCGTTTTGCGGGGGTTGCTGTTGTGGTGATATCGTTCTGTTGTTGCTTTGTTGGATTGTGATTTTATTTGGTTGGTTGTTATGTCTTTGGTTGTAGACATTTATGATTGTTGCCTGTGTTTTGTGCGTATATAAGTGTTTTTTTGTTGGTTTGCTTTGTTTGGTTGGGGTTTGCTTTTATTTTGGTTTGGTGAGTTGGCGCCCATCAAGGGATGTATCTTGCTTCATCTCTTGCTACGCAAAACCGATATGTAACAATATAATTGCCAACCCATTTCCAGGTAAGATTGTCCGTTACCATGCTTTGTTTCGCGTGGTGTGTGTGTGTGTGTGTGTATGTTGGTGGCCCCCAACTTTGATAGGGTTCCCTGAAATCAGACAACCCTGTTGATTGTTTCTGAGGCAAAGGTGAGTCGGCGCTGTACTGCCATCCGGACGAGGCCGAGGGCGTGGCGAGTGACTGGAAACTGGAGAAGACGGAGCCTTGGCGATTGCATGGCTCGTTGACGATCTTTAGACTTTAACTTTTGGGGAAATAGGTGCTTTCCACTAAACCCCCAAAAAGTACATCCCAAGGTTCCACCAGGTTGCATGATTTCCAGTCAGCGGTGATGATGTCGATGAGGTGTGCAGGTCAGCATTTTTTCCTCGAAAGAAGGCATTCGCTTGCTCACGCAACACGCCCCTTTCGACATGCTTCCACTGCCCCCTTTGTGGGGGCAGACGGAAAAAGTACTCCGAACCCGCCTGAACCGAGCCTCACTTGACCCGTCGTATCGGCGTGGCACCAAAGGTTGCAGACTGGCGCTCGCAATGTTCAGCCCCTTTGTGCATCACACGAACAAACCATGTGACACATCCCGTAAAGGGTCGGTAGATGGCTGTTTTTCTCCTTTGTTTTTTTTTTCGCGAACCCCCCCCCCCAACATGGTGATTTTCCGATTTCCCTTTGCCACACCAAAAATGGTACCCTCAACCAAAACACACACCCAGATATCCATACGTGATCACACAACATGTCCACAGGGTCCAAGCATTTTCAGATGACCCATACACGTTATGTTTTCAGTGCTAGCTATTGTAGTAAGCCAGAGGAAACCATGTGGAAAACATGGTAAGAAACCCCGGTTAGCTGGAAACACACAGTGAGAACTTACAGGAGTCTCGGGGACGTGCGATTGGTGTAGGTATGCCTTTCACATATCAGTCCAAAGCGAGCTTTTGCACCTGGGGGCTCAAGAATCTCAGAATGTAAGGGTCCAAGTGCCTTTAAGAAGACGCTTTGACCCTTTTCACCCGTCAACGCTCCTCACCGGGTATGACGACACTGCAGTCGCGCAGGCCAACCACCACAATCACCTGCGATATCATTTGTCGATCGAGACGAAACATGCGGCCGAGGCGTTCTACGCATATCCTCCGGACTGCAAAATCCCTGGCACTGTGGAAGTCTATGAGTATCGGAAGGGTGCTTCCTGGCAAAAATAGGTCTGGAAACCCTCTCCTTGCAAAAAAGTGGTTAATGCCCTTGGGTAATAAGTCCCCCAAGTTATATATAGGGTCGTAGGGTCGGGTACATTAGGGGACTTATTCATTTGTGCCAGGATCATGGAGACAGGTGGATCAAATGGGGTGGTCCAAGTTTTGGGTCGTGCTTGCTGCTGGCTTGGAACCTAAAGGCCCGTCAGTCGGTACCTTGCGCCCTTCGATTTTGAACAATACCCGGCTCTTCAAAACTCCAACGGAAAAGTGGGCTTTTGCCAGACCCAAAATGAATCAACGGGCGAATGGCCGTTGTTTTTTTCCTTGAAAAAAATACGGGTAGCTTGAGGGTCCAGGTTCATTTTGACGCTTGAGCCATGTTGCGAGTTGTTGTGTTGTGCGAGAGTGCTGCGAATCGGTTTTATCAAATAAGGCTCCAGACGGAGTTTCGATAAATTTTTGCGGTTCCGAGCCGTCCCCTTTAGTTCCTAGGGTTTAGTTGGGGTGTCAATTTAACCCACCAAAAGTTGAACTTTTGGCAGGGGATCTGCGGACAGCCCAGAAGTTAAACAGTGGTTTGCATGGCTTGGCCAGTGTTTTGTCAGTAGAACCGCCCCGCGGAATGTGGCGAAAGCTGAGGAATTGACTTACTACGCCCACAGCGGATGTGATGGCTTTGACACCATCACCAGCTGGGGCTGGCAAAAATGCCGCGTGGCCTTTTGCTGCCCGTGCTGAGAAAAGGCTCGCTCGCAAGGTCCGGGCTGGCGGGCGTTTTGTTTTGGGAGGACGGGACCCGAAAGAACGACCCAAAAAGGAGTGGAATTCACCCAGCCCATATTTTTGGTTTTCAAGTTGCAACTTCTTTCGCGGGTCCAGGAAAATCTTCAACCCTAAGAATCAGAAAAGTTCCCTGCCCTATCGGGCTAGAGGAATCAACCTCCCTTAGAAGCTCTTGGACCTCAAAACGGGCCGGTCCGTCGAGAAGTTTGTTCCTTCCATTTACTGAAATGATAATTTCTTATTTCCCCCTGTTGGTTTTAAAGGAAATCGATTTCACTACTGGACATATTTTCTCATGCTTTCCAGCGGACCTATTTGCAAATGGAGGGTACCTGGAGTCTCCGAGACTGATCGGAGCACCCCAAAAGCAAGGGCTGGACCCAGCTTAAAAGGGTGAGAAGGAGACTCTCCCTTTTTTTTGGGGGGGTGGGGTCTTGAGCAATGCGGAACCACCAAAAAAACGGTGCCCTTCTTTTCCGCCACTGAGCATCTGAGGCTGGGTCCTCGGCGTTTCTTGGGGGGAGTTTCATCTTTTGCCCAGGCTGGCCTCGATGAGGCAGGGAGCGAACTTTTACCTCGGTCCAAGCGCAAGTTGAGGAGGATTGACGCATGAAAACTCACTCCCTGAGTTCCTGAGCTTCTTTTTCTTGGGGAGCATGTGAATATGTTGTTGGGGGACATTCGCTGGCCAATCCACTCAGGAAGCGCCTTAGAATGTGTCAAAGTACCTTAGCAACTTTAAAGAACATGGACGCCCCCCCCCCCTATTTCTCACTTCCTGAGTTCATGAACTTTAAACTTTTTGGGAAGACTATTTTAGTGGTAAATATAAAGTTTGGACTTTTTTTGGCCAGTCAACTTGGGAAGTGAGATTTCAGCTGTTTTCAGAGTGCGACGAAATCAAGTTGCTCGGGGGCCATCCGACTTCAAGAAGGAAACTCCTCCTTGCTCCGGGCCTCTGGGGGTTGCCAGCTGATTCCGTTGGGCAAGGAAAATGATCTGCGCCTCTTGTGAAGACTACGCCCAAGGGTTCAAGTGTAGAAGGTACTTGAACCCCTTCAAACTTCCACTCTCTGTTTGAGTTCCCGGACTTCAAACTTCTTGGGAAGACCATTTTAGTGGCAAACCATTTTTGGGCCACGATCCTAGAAGGCCACTTAGACCCTTCAGGTGCCACCAGCTAGAAGCATGCATGGCTTGCCTCGAGTCCGGATGTTCTCCTGGAGGTGCGCCGAATTTTGCAAGGGAAGATCTATTTGCCGGTATAGTAGGTAGCCAAGGGAACCACCCTTTGAAAAATGAAAGGACGATGCTTGGTTCCCTACTATACTGGCCTGCCTGTGATCCACTGCCCAGACGCTGATGGACCTTGCTAGGAGTCCAACCCCTCTTAGGGACACCCTTTTCGGCCCCTCTTCCGAAGGCCCGAACAGTTGGGAGCATGTGGGTGGAGTATCTTTTTGCGTACTTGGACCCTCAAGTTTCCAACTTAAACGTGGGTTATCAAACTTATGGACTGTGTGCATGCCACTTGTTTCTAGGTAGTTTGATGGTTCAGGAAAAAATGAAAGCCACGCCTTTGAGCCATTTGGGGAGGGGAAGAAAAAGGACGTGCCAGCCATATGGCTGTGGGTCAAAACCAATGGTAGCATTTTGGGGTAGGTGCACCACCAATTTTAGTCTATTTTAGTGGGGATTGGGATGTTCACTGGGGGTACAGGGTTTTGACCCATGGCCATATCTTGAAAACCGCCCAGGCCATGCTGCCGCTGAAGCCGGCAGCCAAGCCTGGCGCTCAGGAGAGAGCAAAGCAACACCTTAAGGCTTTGTTCAAAATGAATAATGTTGACCCCGGATTAATAAACCCCTGTTTATTAATATGGGGGTGTTGCCCTCCAAAAGTAGAAATCCCTACTAAAACCAGGGACACCCCCATATTAATAAACAGGGGTTTATTAATCTGGGGTCAACATTACGGCCGTGTTCAACATGAATAAAATCCTCGGGATGTAGCGGCATTTCCTTTGGTTTTGCTGCAAGCCACCCTGAAAAGGGTACCTCTCACAGTTCCAACTCAACAAAATGGTTGGCCTAAAATGATGGGATGAGTTCCCTTGTGATTATGCGTAGTTTGAGGGTTCAGGAACCCTGTGCCATAAAAAGGGGAGTTTGGCGTCTTTTGCTGCGACACCCAAAGGGTAATGACCCTTAAACCATGTTGAGAAGGTTCCCCTTAAACCACTTTGAGCAGAGTTTTCTTAAGCCCTGAAAAGGGTACCCCCCCTTGGCCCTGTTTGGTGTTATGTGGTCTTGTCTTTGGGTGGTACTTGGCAATCATCCCTTGCAGACCACAATAGGTGCCGCCAGTTTCCAGGCAACATATTTCCCAGCGGCGCATTTGGTTGGTCCCTTAACATTGTCTGTTCCGCGCTCCGTTGTGATTTGTGGCTCTCGCGGCATGTGAGTGACGAAAGAAACATGGGACCAGTTTTTGGGCGGCTTGTTTCTTATCAGGTTTGCAAGTGGAAGGTATTGGCCTTGGGTGCTCCACTTTCTGGGCATTTCTGATCTTGTGGAGTACTATACTCAGGACTCCCCCCAAAAGAGCCACACCCGAGAATTCGCGCTTCGGAAGCCTGACGGCTTTTCATCCAAAGGCCCTTGCTTCGGGATACCACAAGGGTTCGCGCTTCAGAAGCCTGAGGGGGGACTAAAGCCAAAGAAGGTCCTTGCGTCGGGATACAAAATCAATCGGGATTCTCGATCGAGGCGGCGGGTGAATCTGAACGCGCTGGCCATCGTGGTGAACTTGCTGGTGCCTCTGCCTTAGGGGGCCACTCCAGATGGGCCACGAGAGGTCCGACCCACACCCCTTGGCCGCAAGAAACAAAAAACATGGACAATTTGGAAGGCGCACATTAGCTCACAAAGGATGTTTTGGTTTACGAAGTCTTGGCATCCATTTTTGTTTGACCTTTCAAGCTGCCGTAGAGAGCCAAGGCATCTGGAAACACAAAATGGCACCCAAGCTCGAACCAAGGCTTGTCCTTTTTTGTACCTCTGTTTTTCCGTGAAAGTTTCAGCAGACCCAAACTCAGACGAGCTCATTAGGCCGTACGGCATCTTTTGCCTCATTTGCTGGGCCTTGTCCTTCTCCTGGCACTACCAGGCGGGCCGAAGCCTCAAAACCCGAAGGCCAAACGGATCCGAGGGATCAGAGGGATCGGTCACTGCATGTATTTTGTTTGTTTTTTTTTTCCGGAGCGAAAGTTGGATATGTTTGTTTTTTTTTGGGTGATTTCTCCCGGCGCAACAGTTGGATCATTTCTTAAAGGTGGTTTATCCATTGAACGATCGCCACTTTTGGTGGTTCCAAAAAATGGAGGAAGCCCTGTCAGAGGTTGTCACCCCTCCCAAGCGCACTTCCTGTGGGTCTTGACTGAAGATTGTTCAACTTTGATTGGACTTAAGTGTCCAGCTTAGCTTGGTTTTGAGGAATAAGGGGTCAAAGCACCTTCTTGGGTGCTTGGACGGGGCTGGGGTTGTTTCCCCTTGGCCTATGATATTCTAGGCGGGTGATGGTAGAATAGTAAGGCCAGCTTTTTCTTTTTTTTCTCGGACAGAATCTCAAAGAGTTTCCGTGGAATACATATTGGAGTGAGATGTGTTCTGTTGCTTAGAATGCTTAGGTACTGGCCATAGTAATGGCCCCCAGCCCCCCTCCCCAATGTCCACTGGTGTTTCAATCATCGCCGTATCAAATGATGACGTTAGCGCAGATTGGGGTATGGGTCAAAGCCAAACCACCAGCCGACCGCAGATGTTCCATGTCCATTTACCGGGGCACACCCAGCTAACTCCTAGTACTTTTTTTTCTGAGTTCATGGGCTTGAGTCTTGAGTCACAATTTTGGGTTTGGACCATTCTAGTGGCACACTAAAATCCACTCCATGGGGAGAGCGCTGAGCCTTGACCTGTGGATGGATGAGCATCCTGCACCCTTCAGAAACCTTGGAATGCTTCGATTCACCGGAAGTGCCAAGCAGCAAATGGCTTTCGACTGGTGGTTTCCCAAAGTGCTGCGACGTGTTCGCAACCCATCCGCCAATTTGAGCTGCGGATCCCGGCTCCTTGGTGTCTTGAAGGGGTGGCAAGCCCTTGGCTGCCCAAAAAGCAGGTGAATGGATTCACTGGGTACTTCCCCACATTTTCCCTATGCGCCCCCTTGAAGGCGTGAGTTTTTTTTTTTTTTTTTTTTTTTTTTTTTCGCTGGGCGCCACACCCCCCGTCACGGCCTGGCGCGCGGATCTCTCTTTCTTTTTTTTTCTCAGGCGCCGATGTGCGCCTGGTCCAGCGTCTTGTTGGGCCTGGGCCTTGCAGCCTGCACGGCCAAGCTGGCGCCGGCCCCGGGAGTCTTTTTTTTTTTGTGTGTGTGTGTGTTTACTGGAAGCTCAGGTTTTTTGGAGAGGTGGGGTGGGGGGGTGGTTTAGACAAATCGTTGTTTTTTTGCTGGAAGCTCAGGATTCTGTGGGGTGGGGGGGGTGGTGGGGGTGGGGTGGGGTGAGGTGGTGCCAGGATTCTGTGGGCCGATTCTACAAGGCGTCCAACCTGTATAAGCGAACTTCGGGGTGATGGAGAACCAGTTCGGGCAGAAGGCACGAGCCTTTAAAGGAGTTTCTCAAAGTGGATTTCGGACCCCTTGGTTGGTACTGATATTTCAAGAGACGCCAAAAGGAACGGTTTAAACGGGGAGGAATTTGAGACGGGGTTCCCTAAATTCGTGAGATCTCTTTGGAAAAAGTTCCCATCCGGTTCCGGACGTGTTAGGGTTTAGGGTTTCCACAAGTTAGTCACTTTTCGCGGATCAGAAAACGGAGAGCCCAGGATGATGGCAGGTTGGAAGAACTTTCTTTAGCCCTCTTTGACCCAGTCCATTTCAAGAAAGTCCTTCAACAT